GTTGCGGTGACGGGTAATAGTTGCGTCCTCTCGGCGGCTCGGCACGGTCAGAACCGCAAAGCCAACGGCGCAAACAAGCACGGCCCGCGCCTCTTCCCCAACATCTGCATCGATGGCCCCTTCTCAACCGCCTCGCAAGGCGTCTTCAACTACGAAACCGCCGTCCTCGTCGGCGCCGGCATCGGCGTCACGCCCTTCGCCTCGATCCTCAAATCGACCTGGTACCGCATGTCCAACCCGGACACCTGGGCCACCACCCGCCTCCGCAAAGTCTACTTCTTCTGGATCTGCCGCGACTTCGGCTCCCTCGCATGGTTCAAATCCCTGCTCTCCGCCATCGAAGAAGACGACAAGCTCCGCCAGATTGAAGTGCGCGCGTACCTCACCGCCAAGATCTCACATGAGGACGCAGTCAACATCCAAATGAACTACGAAGAGCGGGATCCCGTGACGGGTTTGCAGCAGCCGACGAATTTGGGAGGCCGAATTGGGATCTGATTTTCAAGGGGATCAAGCAGTTGCATTGTCCGGGCGAGGCGGGCGTGTTCTTCTGTGGGCCGAAGGGGTTAGGGAGTGAGTTAGCGGTTAAGTGTAATCAGTATAGTGAGCCAGGGGAGAGGGGGTTTGAGTTTCATTTTGGGAAGGAGAATTTCTGAGTGAGAGTGTGGTGTTTTTGGTTGGGATTGAGCGTGGATTTGTGGACTTTCCTGTTGAGCAAGCGTGCGTTTGATAATTTGGATGGTATTGGTTTGGCGAAGAAATGATGTTGTTGGACTTTTGTGCGGAGTCCTCCGACATCCTGCGTGCTGCACTGTGTCCATGAGGGTGTCGCTTGCGGTTACACCCCTATGATTGTGTCGATCTCCGTCGCACGAAGCACGCGTGGGCCACAGCGCGGACCGCCTCATGGACAGGCATGGTCGCATTTCCTGATCACGATGTCGATCTGAGTCATGCGTCGGTGTTGCGTCGTGCAATCAGAGATATCTATAATGAGAACGATATTGAGAAGCTCCAGGGCCCAAGAAGTCCCGGCCGACATATGATCCCCGAGTCAACCGGTCTCAGAATATCGACGGTGAAAAGCTGAATAGCTGCATTGGCGAGTCGGAGTGCCTTAGCGCCGGGACTATGATCTTGTCATCCGGCGTTCGTTCATGCTTGTCATCCGATCTCGTATCAACGTCGTCCAACGAGGTTGTACGCGACTCGGTGGGCCCTAAACGGCTCAGGAATCAGGCACCTCATGATACTGTGATCTTCGAGGATGTTGCGGGCAGTGCAGTGAAAGGGAAGACAAGATATTATATTCTGACCATGTGCATAGCCTCCCGTGTGTTCGTCAAAGTCCACTTCTGTGTGGAATGTCTCGTCTCTATTTGTGCAAGTAAGCTGTAATGAAGGAAATTGGACAAGGCCCTGTCCTGCGACCGCCATGTATCTTCTGTTCGAAAGAAATGTCTAAGTCCAAGCTCCCAGAAATCATGGTGTACGCCCGTGTCTATCCGTGCCGCTAATGCCCAGGAAGGCCGCCCAAGAATATGTGATGGGAGCCTCGCCTCCCGTTTAGAATGTGAACTGCATAAGACCTGGGTTGAGGACGAGTGGCATGAGCTGTGAAGCGAGACGGTCAGCATAAGTCTTGAAGATCGCTAGCATGGAAAATAGCAAACTTACGAAGTGGAACGTGATCAGCACCGAAATCGGCCATATCGCAACGAAGCCCGTGATCTGCCAATCATAAGGAATGAGCGCACCGACGGGCCCAACACCGGCAAGCACAATCATCGCCGCCGTCATGATCAGGCAGAACGCGAACGTGAACTTGAACTTCTTCAAGATCGTCGGAATCTCAGCGAAGAAACTCGTCCGTTTTGCCTCCTTGGCGGTGGCGCCCCAACTCATGTCGATGCTGAGCATATGGCATGCGATAGCTTGGAAGACATGTATTGAGATGCCTCCGAGGAAGATTGTGAGGAGGGGAAGCCATTTGAGATTCTCGAGGAAGGCGAGGAAGAGGTTGCGGCCTTCGACACGGTAGCGAAGCACGGCCAGACTGACGACACCCAACGCCTGGAAAACTATGACGATCGAGAAGTAGATCTTAAAGCTGTCGACGTAGTAGTGATCGAGGTAGCCGTTGAACCAGCCGATGAGGAAGTAGTTCATGACTGTGAGGAAGACTGCACCATCTCGGTCAGCACGAAACACGTGAAGATTCGGGAATGGCACTTACAAGCACTGCTGATGGCGTAGTATGTTCCGATATAACTCATGATTGTGATCTTAGCCATGAATGGCATGTTGCTGGTGATGAATCTGCGGAACAGCGGCGTGAATGGACCACGGGTTGGCCAGTATCGGAGAGGATGGAAGATCAGTTCCGAGCAGCCGTAGGCATATTTCTCCCAACGTGACAACTCATCGTAAACAGTCAAAGAGACACCTTCTTGAAAGCCTCGTCCGAAGTATGCAGAGAATCGAAGGTCGTACGAGGCGGACTGTAGTCGGAGGGCCATGTCGAAGTCTTCGGACACTAGACAGCAAGTAAGCATACATGACAAGGTCCAGGCCATTGGAAGGTTACATACCTGTAGTTTCTGCCCAATATTTCTCAACGCCATCCTCGTTGTATGAAATGTCCTGGAGAGCAGACCATCGGAGAATAGCATTGTGTCCGACGAACGGCGCAACATCACCATTTGCCACGCCGAATTGAATAGCCGTGTAGATCAGATTCGTGAAGTAAGTAATGCCCAGCTCAAAGAAGCTTGTCGTGACGTTCATAACACCGGACGAAAACTGGATGATAGCTACCCTGGGGCTCTGCTCCATTTCTGACACGGCATCCAGGAAGCAGTCCTCGGGCACTCGTGTATCGGAATCAATGATCAGAATGTAGTCACCGATGCGAACATTGCCATCTGCCCAAGTTCTGCCCTGGTCTTCCTTGATGACCTGGTCAAGAGCATCCCGGTAGGCCTCTTCCTCGAGCTGGTCGTTCCAGCGAGCGTGGCGCGAGATGCGTGTCAATTTGTCCTCGACGCGTGCGCTGACGTTCATCGCGTAATTCATATTGGACGCTTTCTTGAACTTTCCAGGACGAACGAATCCACTACCTTTCGGGTCATGTTTGGGGCGCCCACCCAGCCAATGTTGTGCTCCTCATAGTAGTCCCGGCGTGCGCGAGCCTCCTCTTCGGGGATGAGCTGAATGCCGTCATCATTGACGAAGATGTTTGCTGTGCCGCCTTGCATCTCATACGTTGAGATCGCGTCACGAATCGAGACCATAGTCGGCTCGATGACAGCTTCGAGACCTTCTTTGTAGACCGGGCACTGAACGGTCACGTGAGGAAGCTGGCGGCCAGGTGTATTGATTCGCTTTGATCTGATGCCAGAGAACGACCGAGAGTTTGTCAACATCTGGTTCACGGGTCCGAACAACTGTGACAGCCCGGTGACCAGAGTTTGGAAGAAGAACCAACCGAGCCAAGCCTGGAAAGGCACAACAACGAGAAAAGCCAATCGCATCCAGTTGTGGTCAACACTGATTTCCACTGCAATGTATCGCCAGCCAACTCCCAAGGCCGTGACGGCGATCATGGCAGTGATCCCGATTAGTATCGATTGATACAGTCTGGTCTTGCGCGGTAGGTCGCAGAACGTCATCTCCACGTCGACGTCCGAGTCATCACTCGAGATGACTTCCTTCTCCTTCAGGCGGAAGGTCTGTTTCAGTGGCGTCATTTTGCCATCAGGGCCAGGCGTTGGCGGCGCGGTGTCTATCCTGGAGCCTGGTCGACTTTGTTCAAGCTGGGCGGCACCACGCCACAGATTTGCAACGAGAAGCGACTCGATCTGCTCAGCCCGAGCAACCACTTGTTCTGGATCGTCGTGCCAGACAATCATTTTCGGATCCGGGGACCGAATGAAGGCGGCGAAGTGGTGCTTCTTTGATCGTGCCAAGGAATGAATGTCCTGGAGGACCTGTATCCGTCGGCCATCCGCCAACGGAACATAGAGGGTATCGATACTGCTGAGATAAGTTTGGATAACATCTGTCGACACAGTGATGGCGACTTTGACGTTCAGTCGGCAGATCTGTTCATAAAAGCCATCCTGAACGCCGACGAGCCCCTTGGGTTGGCACACGAAGTCGTCCTTGCCACGCTTGAGGATGACACCTTCCTCGGAGTTTGCATTATATGACCACATTTTCTCGAGTTGCCGCTGACGTAAGAATTTGGCCATGATATCGCATTTCACCGAGTCGCCGCTGACAATACCTTCGTTGGAGCGATAGCTCTCCATCGACCTGACTGACATATTCGAGGGTGATGGTGGTATGCTATGGCCGTGTGTCTGGTTCGGGTTGTCGTTTCCGGGTCCGTATCCATAGTACGGGCTGAGTGATGAGAGACTCGCCTGCCGGATTGGCGAAAGCTCCATGGCTGGCATGTTGTATGGGTTGTATTAAAGATAGTAATATGATGCAAAGAAGAGTGTTGGATATCAAGCGAGTGACTGTGTTGGGTGTAAAGAATGGCTGTGGTGAGTGTAAGGAATGGCAGCGCCCACGAGCGCAAGTAACGAGTGGATGGTCAAAGGAAAGGAAAGATTGAATGCGCAATCAAGACAGAGAGTAAGGCAAACACTCAGAAGCACGACGAGATGGTCCAAGAGAACGACTCAAGGCCCTCCGGGTCCTTGGCTGAGCTGGTGTGCTGTGTCCTATGTTGGCATCAGCCCCTGCTCCCTGACCGTACTGACCTTTCCACGCATGTGGAAGTGAGATGTGATGAGCCCCCATCAGTCCTCGACACCGACCGGGGTGGTGTTTGCATGGTCCAGCCATAGTCGATACTCTGGCGGCCCACCTTCGAGGTTGGATAGGATTCAGGCTATGCCGGATGCTTTGGCCGGCGAAAGCTCTTCCGATTGTAAGTTTGTGAAACTCGGTCAGCTACCACGAGGGCGACAGTTGACATAGCGAGATTTGGTGTAGTGCAATTCATGCGTACCGATGGAGATCAGCCGCGCTACCATCACTGGGATATGCCTAGCACTCGCTCGCGATATCAGCGATTTCCGTGCATTCGCCTACTGCGCTGCGTCCGAGTGTACGCTCGGCTGAGGGCGAGCTGAAGACCGATGAGGAGTCATTGAGAACCAGAACGTGGTTATGGATCTGTGTATGGCGCCGCAGTGGGTAACAAACGTCTTGGTGCAAAGCATGCTACAGCCACAGCATGAAAAAGGCCGTCGTAGACTCACTATACTGTCCAGATAAGTTCTAGCTCAGGCACTAGCCGCGACAACTGTCCCAAAGCAGTGCTTGTATACACCTTATGGGTTTGCGCGGTGTTTCGTGTGGGAACGGGCGCTCCGAGGAACAGTCCTGCGTCCGTCGCTGCGGTAGTTGCACGCCATAATGAAAGGTGTCCCGGCACTTGGGAGGCCTGCGGACGAAGGTGTGAGACGGCATGGGATAAGGCTTCATGATCGAGATGTCGCGACACTGGACTCATAGGGTCTCGCAGCCTGAGAACATACATGGATTGATGCAACTTCGTTGTCAGCGATATCGCTGCCCGCAGAAAAGTTTCAATTGTTGACGACTTGGAGAGCTTGGAACAATCTTGCGGCCAGACCAAATCAGCGGTATCTTTAGACTTTTTCACCTCACCCCACTTGATGAGCTTGGCCGGGACGAAAGTGGGGCAAGCTCGAGCTGGGATCTCGCCCACGCCATCATCACAATCTCTTTTCGTGCTTGTTACCCCTGTCTCCTGAGTCTGAATCTGGGCTTCTTAACCCACCAGGCTGAACAATGGCTATCAAAGAAACTTCTACGGCGCCTAATATCGATACAAAGATAAGACTAGTCGAACGTTCTTTGGAGGATCTACGATCACACCCCTGAACAACAACACGGGCATTCTCTCATCCGGGCCAAAACCGTTGTCCAACACGAGAACCATGGTAATCATATCCGCCTTTCGATCGGCACTGCACGTTGAGCCAGGGTAGTGGTACGAACAGGACGTGATCTGTCGGAAAGCTCATGTACCGAGACATGTGGTCGATCCAGCATACTCACAGAGTCACCTGTTGTCAGTTGACCCGCGGTAAGTTCTGATCCGAAACGGTTGATAATTGTCGACCAAAAGTCTGTCCCTGGTCTCGACATGGCCTCATTTGGGGGTAGCTGGGCGCACGTGCATGGCTACCGATTCCTTATCTGTCTGTGGCTTTTTCGCCCCGAAGTATCACCCTTCCGAAAATTTATTCTGGTATACAACTGCCAAGAAACATGGTAAATTCCGTTTGTTCCAGGATCCAGCGTCGAGAGTCCAGACGTAATCACCTAGGATTGCTTCAACTATTGAGTTCTGTTCCTGCGTCGTTCCTGCATTAGCTGGACGCCTCTGCCGCTGGGTTGGCGCCGGTACCAAAGAACGCCATCGGTGTAATTCTACGCTTGCTCTAAGCGAAGCGTCCGATGAGACGAAAGAGCTGTCGGGAAACGACCGCTATGATGAGACATCCACTGGTAAGTTCGACTGTGCAGGAGATGAGCGATTCGGTCGGCAAAGGTCGCCTCGCTCGCTCGACAGAAACCTCCTGTATCTGAGGGGCTCTCAGCAAAAGTTCCACTTCCTTTCCCTGACCTCGACAATCTACACTCTTCATTTCCACCGCAGGGTTCGTACAGCTGAGCGTGCCTGACTCCATTCGGCCAGCCAGGTACACTTGGATCCGTGAGATTGTGACCCTATTCGTGACAGCCGCCACGGAGTCGGCGCGTCCGCTGTCAATTCTCAACGGTCGTGAAAGCCATCCTGCAGTTCTCTTGAAGTTCTTTTGCGTCCGCTCTCGCTATCAGTACACCATAGACGCCAACATGAACAACGGACGCTCGAACGGCAACGATCTCTCCTTCTGGAGGGACGAAGATGCTGAGGTGCCCAAAGCACTCGAGCCAAAGCTCACAACAGTTTCACCGCCATACTCAACAGCCACATCACGAAACGACTACTCACGGTCGGCAGCAGCCTCCTTCACAGATGAGAAGCCCAGCACATATTTCCACTCACGACGGAAAGCCAAAGGCGATATAGAAAAGCCGTGGTTGAGGGAGAAGAATCATCGACAAGCCTGGCTGACATGGTTCCCAATAATCGGCATCATACTCGGAATCGGATGCACGGGAGCGCTTGTGTGGGATGGCTTACAGCAAAATAAACTGCCAGGATACTGCCAAATTCTGGATGAGGACTTCTCACAAGGCCTCCGAGACAGCATCTGGACCAAAGAAGCCGAGGTTGGAGGGTACGGAAATGGGCAATTCGAGGAGACTACGGTCACCGATGAGAATGTATTCATCGAGAACGGCATGCTCGTCATCAAGCCAACAGTCCAGGATGAGGACCTCATCTACAAGAACAACGTCATCAATCTCATCGAGGACAAAGTCTGCACAGCAGAGGGCATGCCATGGGACAGTTGCGTCACTTCGACAAACACAACAAACGGCACGATAGTCAACCCCGTCAAAAGCGGTCGTGTCAACAGCAAGAAGGGCGCGACAATCCGATATGGTAAGCATTCCACCGAAAATAGATCCACAACCGCAATCCCGACTCAGTCAAGCCATGACCGTCAACATGCTAACGAAGATTTCAGGCAAGATCGAAGTCGAAGCTCAGCTGCCCAGCGGTGACTGGCTCTGGCCCGCCATCTGGATGTTGCCTGTAAACAACACCTACGGCCCGTGGCCGCTCTCGGGCGAGATTGATATCTGCGAGTCACGTGGCAACAATTACACATACATCATGGGCGGCGACAACATCGTCTCAAGCGCTCTGCATTGGGGGCCCGACTTCGCCAACGATGCCTGGTGGCGCACCAACTCACGCAAGAACGCGCTGCACTCGACCTTCTCGGACAAGTTCCATACGTTTGGTCTCGTCTGGACGCCCGATTTCCTGTATACGTACATCGACACGCAGCTGTTGCAGGTGCTCTACACGTGAGTCGCTGCAAGGCTCCCCACTGCCCTCGCCGATTAGCTAACCTTCTCGCAGCAAATTCAAGGAACCACTCTGGCAACGAGGCAACTTCCCCCTCGCCATGCCCAACGGCACCGCCTACACCGATCCCTGGTCCAAGACCGGCAACCCCAGCGCACCGTTCGACCAGCCCTTCTACTTGATCCTCAACGTCGCCGTCGGCGGCAGCAACGGGTGGTTCACCGACGGCAAGAACGGAAAGCCGTGGGTCAACAACAGTCCTAACAGTCGCGTCACCTTCTGGAACGACCGCGACCAGTGGTCCAAGACGTGGACGGAGCCCGAGGCGGTAAGGCCGGGACGAAGAGTATGGGTGAGATGAAGATCAAGCGAGTGTCGATGTGGCAGCAGAAGGGTTTCGAAGCTGCGCCTGAGCATGAGCATGAAACATGGGTGGGCACTCTTTTTGTTTCTGAGCATTCTTCTTGGGCAAATGACCTGTTTTTATGATACACATATTGAGCACACATTTCGAGCATACAACCTTAGCACAGTGGGCCGGAAGATGCGCAAACATCACAGCAGCGATATTTTGCCTGAGCATATGCGGTATCTGTGGTGTTGGCTGAGGGTGAGGTCATCCAGTAGGAGACACCATGCACTGCCACCTGCCCAGAATGAAGGTATGCGAGCGCCTTCCTTTCTCACTGACACCGTCATTGCCACTTTGATGTGCGACGCCTTGTGACAGTTGTCATCGTGTAGGTCTTCTCGCCAGCAAGTCTACGGCCCAGTATTGTTTCATCAGTGCTGAACCTTGGCCGAAGTTCTCTGATCTGTTCGGTGTGACAAATCCCGGAATTATATTCGTGTTATCCGGCACGTGCCCAGGCATGTCAGCCGGTCTTGTGGAAGGCGGATTCTTGTGGCATCGCGCCAAGGCGCCCTGGGCTTCGTCAACATCACTGACATTGCTCACTAGAACGATCTTCGGGATTAGAACCGAATGCAAAGAATAATTGTCTCGCCAACACTCTGCGTGTGCAAACGAGTCAACCTTATGAGCATTGCATCGATCTGCTGAGTTTCGCCAAAGACAACTCAAAGTTTCTCCGCCTTCTCCACGCGGGGAACAGCTCTCAGTCCTGATGTGATCGATGTCGCTGGAGGCATAGAGCGAGCAACCGCCACAATGCAGCATGTTTGTATCCCTTCGACTTGAGTGAAGGCTCACAAGCCCTTACCATGAGCCAGACCACGGTCAAAACGCAGGAGCAGTATCCGTGAGCTTACCCCAAGGCGCACATCTGTTAGACGCAGATGCTGATCTGCGCAGCTGTCCATTGCTGGAACAGCGCTTCTCCGAGCTCAAACAAGCCATTATCAAGCCAGAAGATCGCGACAGGGTGAGCGAGTCCTATGCCCGTCTCAAAGACGCCCTCGAGCGGGAGTCATCACGGATTGCGGGACTTGGCCCCAAAGCAATTCCCGAGGTCGACTTTTCCATCATCGAAAGCAATGGCGGCCAATTGCCACCTAGCTTGGTCAGTGTCGTCCACGACACAGGATGTGTGATCATCCGAGATGTTGTTTCGGAAGCACAGGCTACGGCATGGGAGGCTGAGCTGAAGGCCTACACGAAGAATCACCCGAAAGCGTATGGCTTTCCGAAGACGAATCCGACCACGTATAGTCTGTATTGGACGCGGCCGCAGGTGCAGATCCGGAGTCACCCGAGGGTCATGAAGGCCATGAATGCGGTGAGTCGGTTGTGGCACGTGGAAGATGAGGCAGGGTGCTTGTTCGATCTTGACAGTCAGGTTGTGTATGCGGATCGATTCCGGATCAGGAGGCCTGGACTTGGTGAGTGATTCCGCCCAGTAGGCCAGAATCCTGGGGCGAGAGCATTAGTCGCTGATGCAGATTCGCGTAGAATACACTCTCAACGCCCACCAAGACAGCGGCGCAATCGAGCGATGGGAAGACCCCTCATACCGAGCGTGCTACCAAAAGATCTTCGAGGGCAAATGGGAAGACTACGACGCATGGGCTGCAGACCACAGGTCAAAAGCGAAGACCGACCTATACTACACCGGCCAATCCTGCTCTGCCTTCCGCTCCCTCCAAGGCTGGCTCTCCCTCAGCCACACATCCCCGAACTCCGGCACGCTTCGTCTCCTCCCCTCGCTGAAACTCACCACCGCCTACCAAATGCTTCGCCCCTACTTCATCCTAAACGAATCCTTCGACAACACTACCCCCTTGTTCCCCGGCGCCACCCCTGCGGACCTACAATTCAAGCCACCAACACCCTCCATCCGCATCTGAATCTAGACAAGTCCATCGTCGGAATCCCGCCTGTACGGCCGGGGGACTATGTCTTCTGGCACTGCGATCTGGTCCATTCGGTCGACAAGGCGCACAGTGGGGAGAGGGATAGTAGTGTAGTGTACAACGCTTGCGTGCCGTTGTGTGAGTATAACTTGGAGAACCTGGTAGGTATCAAGCAGGCATTTGAGACAGGGATGCCGCCAAAGGATATGGCGGGGTACGAGCACAAGGAGTGGGAGTGGGAGTCAGACGGGGACTTTGGGGCGAAGAGGGAGAATTTGTTGAGTGCTGAGGGGGAGCGGGCGATGGGATTCAAGAGATTTGAGGTTGAGGCGGACGGGTTGAGTGAGGGCCAGAGGGAGATGAGGAGGATGGCGAACGAGCGGCTTGGGTTTGTGTGACGGCACAGCACACATACGTGCAGGCGTTGGGAGAAACGATAGTCCACTACGTTGGCAAGGAAGAAGCTTCAGATCAGGCAAGATACTTTTTGTAATTTATGATGTAGAAACGAAGGCAATCTATTGAGCCGCGTTTGTTTTGTTGAGAGTGCACGCACCTGAGAAGATCACCGTACTCGAAAGGTCTTGTGCTGTGATGTAGAATCTTGTACGAGCGATTATAGCGACTGGCAGTATGCCTCTCGAGTGGCGTCTGCGAGGTCAGGCAGACCGTTGACGAAAGATGATACATACCCAATGCTTTCCCTTCTGTCTCGCTGCGTTGTGCTTTGTTCGCTGACTGTAGTGCGGCAAGGCAGACAGTAGTCCAGATCCTAGATCTGGTGCTAGAGGATTGTGTTCGAATGATCCGGAGAACTGACCTGGTCGAATAGAAGATATCTTCTTCAATCCTCCTCGATCTCTCCCTCCTCACTACCAGAGTGGACTCCAGCCGGTTCTTCGGACTCAGGTTTCTCAGCAGTCTTAAGTTCAGGCGTCTTGCTCTTTCGAACTGGCCGATCTCGCCGGTCTCGTGAGTCTCGGCGATGTCGCTTGGCGCTCCGTCGATCGCCACTGGCCGCGCTCTCACCATCGCTTTCTCTTCGGCGCCGGCGTTCGCTGCCGGCCACGCTCTTGGCGTCATCGCCGTAGTTGAGCTCGTCTCGACTTCCGCGAGGATCGCCACGAGCTCGATAAAGGCGTTCGCGCTCCTCTTCGCGATCGCGACGTTCGCGGTCGTAAGAGCTGAGCTGGCGTGACGGGCTTCTGTCCAGTCGGCCGTGGCGATCATCTTGGCGACGGCGGTCTCTGTCTCGGTCTCGATCTCGCTCACGGTCGCGATCTCTATGGCGCTCGCGGGGAGAATCCGGTGGAGGACTGAGCCCGGTGCTCTTGCGGTACTGCTTCTCGCGAGCGGCCATTGCCTTGCGGCGATCCGCCTCATATGGATCGGGTTCAGGGCTGCGAGACAGGCGACCGTGCTTCGAGTCGCGGTGGCCATTGCGGTGCTCGCGCTCATCGCTCCTACGGCTTCGGGGTCGATGACGCTCGCGATCTCGTTCATGATCCTCCTCTTTCTCCTTTAGCCGCTTCAAGACCTTGTCGAAAGCAGTCTTACGAGCGTCTTCGCTGTCGAGAGCTCGATACTCCTCGGTCTTCTCGACGCGCGGTCTAACGTCGTCCCATGAATCCGACATGCGGACAGGTGGCTCGAGGTGCTTGATGCGGGAACGAAGAGCGTCAATAGCGCGGCGTTGGTGCCGATCGGCAGCGTGCTTCTCATCTTCGTTGCGCTTGACGACCTTGTCACGTAGGCGTTGAAAGATGAGCTGCAGGGTGTCCTTGTCGATTTTGGCTGTGCGTCTATCAGTTGAAACCACGTCAAAGAAGTCTTCGAACGTTGTTTTGGGGTGAACCTCATAGCGCTTGTCCTGCGAAAGCAGTCAGTAATGTTCATTTGAAGAGCGGGAAGCGGACATACCTCTAGCACATCATAGACATCGTTGCGTCTTCCTCGAAGCGCATTTTCTTCCTCCTCAATAGCATCCCAGAACATGTCCAGTGGTGTAGATCCAGCTTGTCCAAGCATGTTTACATACCTAGGATCATTTTCGATGAGAGGGAGGACGTCTTTCCATTTGGTGTTGGCCTTGAGCTTGCCTTGGTTGCGCAGGTCTTGCAGAAGTTCTGAGAAGCCATCACGACATTGACGTTCGAGTCTGGCCTTGTTCTGTTTCTGCTGCTGTCGAGCATCATTGAAAGTGCGTTCAAGGGACTTGATGTGGTTCTCGAAAGCGATCAGAACGTCTGACTTACTCAGAAGTTTGAAGTTGTCGTCAGCCTTGACGCGCTCATCTGCTTCGAGCATTTCCTGCGCCTGCGACCAGCGGGTGTATGGCTCGAGATTGAGTCCCTGCAGAATGGGCGTTAGGTCACTGAGAGCAGACTTCCTGCGTGCGGCTTCCTGTTCGATATTTCGCTTCTTGAGATCGACGATATATTCTTCGAAGAGCTGCTTGCGCTCGTCTTCGCTTTCTGCAGCCCTGAAGACCGTCTCGCGCTCGAGGATGGGTCGAATGGTCCTCCAGCGACTAAAGTGCTCGATCTCTGGATGTGTCTTCAGCATATCAAGGAAATCTGCTCGGAGCTTAGCGAATCTATCCTTGGCTCTGTCCGCTTCTTGCTGTCGAACCTCAACCGCGTATTTCTCAAACGCTGCCTTGCGGTCTTTCGGGTCCTTGAGCGCCCTGTACTGAGTGTCTTTGATGGTCGCTCGCATGGCCTGCTCCCAGGACCAGTCCGGTTGTACGTTCATGCGCTTGAGGAGCTTCATAAAAGCCGCTTCGGCGTCTTGAAAAGTCGAGTAGTCTGGCACGACCTCCTTGCTGATCTGCGGCAAGGCTAGATCTGCTTTGCGACTTTCGTAAACGTTCGCTGGGGCATCGGGATTGTAGGCGGATAGGGCGGTCGAGCCGCCAGCCACGAAGGATGGCGCCGGTGGATGCGGTCTCGAGCCTTGCTGTGCAGCATCGAGCGCATCGCGATATTCGGCTGGCATCTCCCAGACTGTCGCTTTCGTCTGCGAGTTCGAATAGTACTTGCGGCCATCCGGAGCGGTGTACTCCTTCCATGGCTGATCGGCGAGAGCGCGCTCGATGGGCGTCATGAGCTCCTTCGGCTTCTGCATGATGTTTCTCGCGTGGCCGAGTTGTAAAAATATGTTCGGCCATCAGGTGCTTTAGCCTCCGCCCAGACAGACGGAGGCGCTGGAAACCCGTTCATCGTATCGTCTTGACTGGGCCTGCAGCACACATCAACGACTGACTCAGCGATTGATGCAGTAGTATGAGATGAAAATAATTCGAGTCTGTAAGAGGCGAGCCCGGCAAAAGGCAGCTCGGAATTCACCTTTCTGTCGGCTTGGCGAGACCCACTTGCCATATCACTCCTTCACTGCACGGCAGGCGCAGTGAATGCCTCGTCCAATGTAGCAGGAGCAAAAATCGGCGACAGCATGATCGAACTTGAAGCACTGAGCCTCCACCGGTGATGCGTCAAGACGCATCACGGTGTCAGCAGCGAATGTCGCGTCTTGATCTAAGCAATGATGGACGCCGAGAAAGCGATCCTCAAATCGACCGCAATTGAGGTAGTTGTAGCCCAAGACACTACCTCTGAGCTCGCTGAAGTCTTTGCAGCGACATCAGATACACGGTCTTCAGAGACTTCCGGCTTGATCAATATCAAACGCCGAGATCTTGTCTTCATAGGTACTTGCGTCTCGGCCACAACAACACGAACTCCAGCTCACCTCCTGTAGACGAGCGCTTACGAGTCTTGGTGCTGTTATCCGTCCCACCATGTGATGAAGATGTGCTGAAAGCGATCTTGTCTAAGGCGAACATCAGGGTCGAGGCGTGGGCTCAGGATGTTGCCGCCTCAAATGGCTCCACGGCAGACGCCGTTAGGGACATGATCTCCTCCATCACTCTTGATCTGACCGAGGAGCCCATCGTTGTGGCTCAGGAGACCGGGCACAGCCAACGGACATCGTTGGTATTGGCTTGGCCTGCTTCGATCACGCTCGCCAGACCGCGGGTCCGCATGATGGATCCAGCCGTCTCGTTCTACTCCGTGCTAACCGTCACGTACCCTGATGATTCGAGCGCTCGGAACAGGCTGCTTCAACCTTTCGAAGCCATCGAGAAGAATGTGTTCGACACTTTGCGGCTGCCACCCGGACAAGGCGCTCAGCCATACTTACCAGCTTCGGCTTTGACCAAAATCGTACCTGAACAGACGCCCGCACCACAGCAATCCAGAATCGAGCACATGTCTGCCAGAATGCGCCTCGTGCCTGTCGTGGGTAGCAGGATGACTTACCACAGGTCCGATCAATGCATCATTGGAGCTCTGAACATCGAAGTGATCCCTTACGTCGAACTCGAAGCAGAAATCAACAACATTCAAGTGTCCATTGCACACGGAACAGTCGAGGATCTCACAAAAGACCTCCTTTCCATCAAATGCAGGTCTCGAGACATATCAACTTTCCTATACCGACTTCGGCAAGCTCCGAGAACCGACACCAATCCCGCCACCGGAAACACAACGCAGCTCTCCAACCTCGACGTCCTCACCATCCGCCTCGAGCTCTCCATCACCGTCTCCAAACTCTGCCAACCTCGGGTCCAAATGGACTACACCACCAATATCGACTTCTTCCAAGCCCTCAACCCAACATACGGCGGGCCTAACCAGCCGATGCAGCGTCCTCACCGGCCAGCGAGCCTCCCACTGAACAACACGAACAATCAGCAGAGCACTGGCCACAGTCAAGGCCAGACTCAGCCCACCGCCCTCAACACAACCCTTCAACCAACCCTAAACCTCTCCACCTTCACCGGCGTCTCCATCTCCTCAACCGCGCCCACAGACCCAGTCAAAGTTGGCATTCCCTTCACCTGGCGGTTGCTGGTAAACAATCAGTCCACCCGCGCCGCCAAGCTGGCCATCTATCCGCTACCACGGATCTCCAAGAGCCACTCCGCCCAAGCTGCGAGCATCGCGTCCGTCAAACGCCACACTTCCCGCCTCTCCATAACCTCCGGTCGATCTCGCGACAAGCAACACACCCTCAACAACCCCGACTCCTCCGAACAGAACAACATCGCCCAAGCCGTCGTAGACGAGAACATACTCTACGCTCTTCAACACTCTCACCACAGCCCGCAGAATCAAGGCGACATCATCGCCCTCACTCCTGAGCTCCGCGTCAGTGGTCTAGGACCAGGGCAGTGTCACGAAGGAGAGATCGAATTTGTTGCACTCAAAGCCGGGACCTTTCAGGTCGATGCGATTCGGGTGGTGGATGTGGTCAGGGAGGCGGAAGAGGGGATTAGCGCGCCGGGGGTCATGGTCGATTTGGGGGAGTTGCCTGATATTGTTGCTGTGGAGTGATGGACAGGGTAAGGTATGCTTGTTACGACGTGTTTAGAAGATATCGGGGTATGGCGCACCTCGCGCGTATGAGTGGGTAGCGCCCGCCTGATGGCCTGGTGCAAGAGTGGACGGAGTCGAGACAGAGGTAGCGGTGCAAGCAGGGATGGAGTGGAGGGTTGATTTTGCATTTCATTTGGTTTGTGAGATGGGGAAGGCTAGCTACTACTTCTGTAGATATTGCTGCCATGTCATGGTTGGGAGGACTAGCATTCGTTGCTTTCGACTGTCAGCCATGCTTTCCTCCTCCCATTTGCGTCTTGGTTCATGCGTGTCCGTGTGTGCTCGTTTGCTTATGGGTGGATGTGTCTCATCGGTGAGAATGCTCATCCGTGCGCGTATCGATCGATGGTCATGTGCTCAACCAGAAGCGCCGTTGTGATGTGGAGGTCCATTTGTGACCGGCGACGATCTCATCTCTTATGCCCAGGTGTGGATTGAAGGTGCTCGGCTCTCAGTGCTAGTCACCTACTGAGCCAACTTGCTCTTTTCAGAAGGAGATATGGTAGTAACTCATGGGAACCTCCACGTTGTGACCTTCTTGAAGGTCCTTGTAGCCGGCATCGGCGTGGAAGGTGCCTATGATACGGCCATCGCTTTCCTTTCTGACGGTACTGAACTTCGTGCATCTCGGTGTCTCATAGTATTCTTTCTTCTGGAACGTCGTTGTGATGCGACCATTGGCTTCCTTCTTGACTAGGAGATCCTGTGGTACTGTGTTAGCTCTCGATTTGTATCCCGTAGGGCCCAGGGAGATTGACGACGTACCGCAACATATCCACCAAAGCTAGCATAATGTCGATTATTGCCTCCAAAGCTATGGTGGCACAAGCCAACGGTCATTCGCGACTCCCATTCCGCTCCACTGCCGCGACTCGGCGTTGAGTCGAACTCCTGTAGCCATTCTGAGAAGACTTCGGTTGCATCGTCCTCGGAGGCGATCTTCAAGGGGCCCACGTCGATGTCTGGGAGGATAGAAGAGTGGCCTTCGACTGTGGACCCAATCTCAGCACCCAGCGCTTCGTCGGGAAGAACCACCTTACGAAGCGTCGAAAAGCCATCAGACAGAGACGTCTGAAGTTTGACGAATCTGCCGCGGAGAATTGGTTCGATGGTCTTCACCGAATCCTTCCATGACTTAGGAACAAAGTCTGAGACCCGTCCGATGGTAACGCAGCTGTCGCCCGGAGCACCACCACTCAAAACGTCCAAATGCAGAGTCTTGCCTAGATAGTCGATGAACTCACGGCGCAACTTCTGGTTGCTGGACAGCAGGCTACTGTAGAATGATTGCTCGTTGCGTGAAACTGGAGGCCAGGTATGAACAGGTCTCGATGTGCGATATGTGCCTTGTTGACTTTTGGGCGTGAAGGTGACAGACAGTCTCACGTCTCCGTCGATGATGGCGCCGCTGCCGTTGCCTTCGGGATGATGATTGAAGCAGGATGTCTTGATGTAGAGCGCGAGCTTGCAGTCCAAGTCCTGCATGTACTGTTCAAAGATCTTGAGGCGGACCTCAGGAGGGATCGTGTCGAGGGTGTGCATCTTGTCCGTGTAAGAAAGTGCGTCAGTATCGACGCAAGTCGACAAAAGACGCTCGAGAAGGATGTCGTGGCATACCTTTGATGACCGGAACTAGTACGGGCAATACGTGCAACGAGCAGAAGTGGCGAATCGCGGTCTGACCGAGGTATCTCGATTGCTGCAACGTGGAAGATCCACAGAAGTCGGCGGGGATGTCGCAGCTATCTGTAGCCTATAAAGAATTTGAAGTCCGCCTGGTGACAAGAAAGATGTGATGTAGTAAACAAACAAGTAAGGCAAAGAGTTTCGGACTTCAGGTGAAATCGCAGAAAGAGACAGATGATATTCGTTCGTGGCAACGCGGTCTGCTGTGTCTGTCAGCGGCTGCCTTGCCTAATTATTGCTATTCAACTGGGTGCGCTTCCTTGCCGCTGGGACCATGTTCTGCCTAACAACGTCTCTCCTGGACATGCATAGCCACGAAAGCAACCGCCCAAGTCCTGCTCTAGATGTTGTCTAACGGCAGAGCAGGCTCGCGTGGTTCAGAACCAAATGAACGTGCGTTGAGGTGCAGTATTGCCTGGCTGTTGCCCCTGGAACCGCCTCATAAAAGGTGAATAGCTCGATCTACGGCCGCTCTGAACGAGATCACGCTCCTTCGCCAGTTTTCTATCAAACCATCGAGTTGCTTTGTCGAGGGTATCGACTGGAGTAAAAGTGAATGAGATGGAGCCACTGGGTGCTTTCTTGACGAGGATTGTCTATGTTGTTGTGTCAGCTAACCTTTGCATCATCTCACGTAGAACCTGCGACGGAGAGCTTACTGCATAGTCCCCCGACCATGTATCACGACCATTGCCTGTGAAGGAGTGTTTGACCTTTCCAACCGTCATGGACGATTCGCACTCTGGTCCGTTGCCACTTGTCGTGGTCGCATCCAGGTGTCGCAGCCAACTAGAGAACATCTCGAGAGCTTGAGCCTCAGAGACTTCTCTTAGACGCTGCACATCAGTATCGGAAACCTGCTGCACATGGATGCCGGGGTCGTAAAACCTGGTATCGTGGACACTGCGGAAGCAGGCTCCGATCAGCTCGTCTCCAAGATGAATTGGTTGCCAATGTCTCGGGATAGACACCTTGCGAATTATTGGAAAGCCATCAGAGATCGATCTCTGTGGCTTCAGTTTTACCATGCCGCCTCGGATCTCGACTCCAATTGTCTTGACCAGCCCTCTCCGAGGTTCGTCGACGAAGTCTGAGACATTGTCGATGTTATCGCAGTTATCGCAGACGTCGCTGCAGGCGAAGACGTCCAACTGGAGATCTTTGCCCAAGCAAGCGATGAATTCTCGCCGAATCTTGCGGTTACTGCCCAGGAGACCGGTGCACAGGTTATCGTATACGACAGGAGTGGAATTGATTAGTAGCTGGCTCCTCGTGCGGATGTGGCCTCTGTCATCGGAGTAACGGTGGGAGCGGTGAGAACTGGTGAAGGAATGGTTGGAGCAAGACGGTGTGATAGTGAGAGCGATTCTGCAAGTCCAGTCCCGAATATATTGCTCGAAGATCTTGAGGCGGATCTCTGCTGGTATCGTATCGAGAGTGGCCATCTTGTTTGCTCCGGTCGAAGATGCTGTGGAAGGTGCCGTCAGCGACAATAGCCAATGGGATACTGAAAGGAAGGTGTGACACACCGGAAAGCAGTGAGATAGACCAGGCGAGCTTTGTGTCCACCAGCTGTACAGCGCAGAAGTGTGAATGACGTGCATAACCAAGGGAATTTCTAACGGATCGTCAAAAGATCAAGACAGCACAATCAAGGTGTGGACCAAGAGGGGTCACGTGAACTGTTCAGCCTTCAACTGCTGGTGACTTGAAGATTATGAAGGAGAGCAAGGTGAACATGTCAGCTGCAATGTAGCCTTGTGTAGGCATGACTGGTGCTTTCACCTACCGCTCTATCGGCTCTTTTTCGTTGCCAGCTTACAGAGTACTGTTGAACCATGCTGTTGAATGGGGCCAGAGTTAAATGGTCTCCAACATAATGTAGACCTTATACACTTATCTGCGCGCTTCTACCCAGACGATGATGTACCTTATCGAGCAGGACACTGTTGCGCCTTGTATCCATGCCGACCCACAATCAGTCAGAGGTATCGCCCTTTTACAGCCTCTTTCTGAGAGCATCCTGCATAATTGCGCAGCCAGGTGGTCTTGCTGAGATCTGCCAACCAGAATCGATATTCGGTTCCTCGTAGAGAAGCGTCAACAGGCTTCGCGTTCCGCAACGTCAGGGCGAGCTTGGTACGCAGGAGATGACTTGGATGCTCGAAGGACCCGAAGTAGCCCTCTAGCCAGTCTTAGACTGATTCGATGCTCGGGTGAGTGTGTATTGGGACTCACTGACAGTGTTGGTGATGTTCACGTGAAGTCAGAAGTTCGTTTAACGCTTCGACCCCACGCACCCAACTTGAATGACGCCTACCATTCGGCTAATTCGCCCAATGCGACCCGGCCTCGTCTGTACGGCAACGACATTGTGATTGAGAGCCGAACGCGATATAGCTTCACCATTGTCAGGAGCATACTGAAGAGGCATCCTGTGAGAGTAAATGGCAACGTTGCGTCTTGCTTTGTTGTCGTTTCTACCTGGCGGTACTTGTGTGTACTGCAGAAGTCTCTAAACTGATTCGCACGCGATCGAACACTGCCCTCTTCCTTCAGCCATGGTCCGATCTCGTGAGAGCGTCTTTGATAGATACAATTCCAAGGTGACGAGGAGCACGCTGGGAATTATTTCCATCCTCGTGATCCTCCGCAGTCCCCAGGACTGGGCCTCTCACCTCATCATGCCTGTGCTGCGGCGCTCGCTCGGACGCTTCAAGTCCATCATACTTGTTGTGACTATTGTGCCCGATTGGCTCATCCTGGCGCACGAATGCCAGCGAACGCGCGTTCTTTTTACTCCTCGCCATGCCAGGAACGCGAACGACGTGAGGTGAGCAAAGTCGTAGGGTCGATGCGCTCCTTAATACTCTATTCGGTAGAACTGTAAAGGGTCCTCGTACCCTTTCCGACGAGCTTCGCCGAACACGTCTCTCAGTTCGAAGGAAAACGATAGGACGCCATCTGTCTGCTTCTTCATCGAGAATTCCTAGAGCATGATGTCAGTCAGGCTGCTTTCTTGTCTCGCTTCACAGCTGAGGCTAATGACTTACGGCCAAATCGCCAATAATGGCTTCCGAATAGTCTCTGACATATCTGGGACGCTTCATTCCGAAGAGTAACTCGACCGTGCCGGCTATTCCATGCATCTCCCACACCGTCGCATTGCCCTTGTTCTGCGATAGCTCATAGCGGCGCAGCCAGTTGGAGAGACTCTCAGCAGCTCTGGACTCACGGGCTTGCTTGAGGGGTCCCACCACGATCTCGGGCAAGGTGAGTGCCGATGTAGAAGCGTATGCATGGAGATCGACTCCAATGACATCTAGACCCAGACGCAGAGGTGGTAGTACGACTTTGCGAAGCGTCGGAAAGCCATGGGGTATCGCAGCTCGCAGTGGGACGAGACCATTAAACTTGCCGACTGCTATTGTCTTGACCAGGCCTCTCAAGGGCTCGTGTACCAGGCCGGAGAAGCTATCGATGGGGCAACAGTTGTCGCAGCCGGTAAACGTGGTCCCCTTAGCGCTAGCAGGTGCAACAACCAGATGGAGATCTCTGCCCAGGTAGCCCAAGAATTCAATACGAATCTTGCGGTTGCTGGCTAGCAGATTACCGTGGAAGGCTTCTTTGTAGAACACCAGCGATTTGACAACTCTGAGAGACTGGCCTTTCGAGTGAAAGACAACCAACAGGTTGCTCTCCTTCTTGACGACATCTTTCGTGTCGCTCGCAGGGCGGTGATGACTGGGGCATGGAGGCTGTACGTAGAGCACTAAGGTGCATGCCGCACCTTGCATGAACTGCTCGAATATCTTGAGACGAATCTCTGATGGTACTGTGTCGAGGGTATACATCTCGTGTGTGTGGCTATGAGAAAAATCGTCAGTATTCGCAACAGCCAGATCATCGCGGTCCAAGGAAGACCTTGTGGTATACGCACCTTTGACTGCGCAATTCTAGTATGACAACGTCGATGGCTTTCAGCAGGTGCCTTCTCTAGACGTGCATGTAACGAGCAGGAATGGCGGATCGTTGTTTCCTCAGAGAGATGAGGATGAGTAGAGTGCGGAAGATTGCCAGAAGTTGCGTAGATGGAATTATCGGTAGCCTTGGGGAGCAGGTGAAGCGTGCCCAGTGACAAACAAGTTGTGACGGACGAACCTGAGAAGATCAAAGGTCACGGACTTTAGGTGATGTTGCAGAGAAGTGTTGACGAAGTTGTTGTTTCATGGCACTACAGCCTTTCGTGGACAGATGCAGCCGCCTTCGCCTGTTGCTCTCCAGTACACCATTTCGAACGGACAATGTCCGAGTATCGAGTCAGACGTTGCCGTACGTGTTGCTATAATTGTGAGTAGCAGCTGGGTAGATTCTCATTTCATATACATGCGTAGATGGGCACTCGTGACCGGAAATCGCTATTCTGTCGCGTACCTACAGCAATGCTACCATCGTTGCTGCCAGTTCTGAGTTGCGATGTGCACCTCAGGCTTCGCCTACACGTCTCCATCCGTATTAGTGCGTGTCTCCGTCCAAGTACCTCCTTGCCTGTCTGCCTGCCCTACAGGGCGGTGACCAATTTCTCTGTGTATTCGTTCGTCCGGGTTCCCGCATCGATGACCTGGAGTCTATAGCTTTGCTGTGACTAGGATCGGAAGGCCGTCAACGTCGTCCCACGCCGGCAGCAGCTAATTGATCGGCTCCATCCCATTCCGACTGCTGATGGGGCCTTGAGAGATCTTTGCTCACTCAGATCTCGATTGTGTATGAGACCAAGGGAACGTTGCGAATGCTACCTGGTCCATCTCTGTTTGGGAACGTGCCGAAGACGAAGCCATCGTATCTATGCTCAAACGAGACACCTTGGCGTCGGTCGTCCGAAAGGTGGTCTGTCACCGTCAAGGTGGCTGAGACGCGGCCGTCAACGTTCTTCTTGACCAGTACTTTCTGTTCCGTTGCGTTAGCCACACCGTTTGTCACGTTTCGCAAGTCGCTGAGAGATTGACTTACCCCATACTTTCCGCCAGCACGATATCCAGGCCATGGCATACCAGGTATTCTGAAAACATAGTCGGAATAGCCGACGGTCATCAGTGATTCCCACTCTACCCGGCCACAGCTGGTTGCTGTTGCGTCGTAACGCTTTAGCCATTTTGTAACTCTCCACAGCGCTTCAGCCTCCAAATTCGTCTTCAGGGCCTCCGTCACTTCCGCCGGAAAAGAGCGAAAGACTTGATGCCCGATCGTACGATAACCACGAAAGGTTCTGCGATCGCCACTATAATCGTACCCCAGGTCAGCTCCAGGAAGAAATACCTTGCGAAGCGCCGGGAAACCGTCAGACAGAGAATTCCGCAGTCTCACAAAATCGCCATCACTGGGCCACGCAGTGGGAAAGGCAAGCGTGGCAGTCTTTACTAAGCTTCGCCAAGGTTCATGAACCAAGTCCGAAGCAGTATCGAGAGACGCGCAGTTGTTGCAGGGTGCACCACCACCGACAAGATCCAGATGGAGGTCTTTGGTCACGTACGCGATGAATTCCTGTCGGATGCTTCGATTGCTGGCCAGGAGGCTACTGTAGAAGGACTTCTGATTGTACGACAGAGGTGGGTGAGTCTTGATGTGACTGCGAATGGGAGTGAATGTGATGGACAGTCTGATGTCTTCCTCGATTAGGGCGGCATTACCCTCGTCGTCAGGGTGATGTTTGAAGCATGATGGCTTGATATAGAGAGCGACCTTGCAAGTCAGATCTTGCATGTAGTAGCCGAAGATGTTGAGACGAATTTCCGGGGGTATCGTATCGAGGGTAGGCATCTTGTTGGAGCTATCACGGTGATCCCGAGGAGTTCCGAGAGGATGGATTTGGGACGACCTGAAGATGTTATGGAGCAGGGTGTCGACTTTTGAGCCCTGCGGCAAGGCAGAACCACGAGTATGTTGGTGATAACAGCCAGCGGGACTAAGTACAGAATTAGTGGATGTGTTAGGGATTGCAAGACTAAGGAAGTCGCGTAGAAGCAGTTATATGTGCCATTTGAAAGGCGTTGAGCTCTGAGGTCAGGCAGGAGGCGACAAAGCTTTGCAGACCAAGGTCTCAGCCTTCAACGAATGCCATTCATAGGCTGAGGGTGGGTGAAGTCATCCGCGAACAAGGCGTCTTCGGTAGGCATATCTGGTGCTTTCACTTGATGCTCCCTATCGCCTTGTTTCGAATCAGTGGCCCAGGAGCGCTCTATCAGGTGTAGGCACGAGAGAGCGGCTTCCATCAAAGGACATATGTCGTATGCATGAAGCCGGGTCGCCGATGTAGCTTGTCCGGCAGGATGCTGGTATCCGTGGATACGACCTCAAACCGAACACTCGCAGCGCTCTCATTTGACGGCTCCTTTCGTGACCACATTCTGTATACTGTGTATGCCTTCAGCCACGTAGGCTCACCAAAATATTTTGACCAGAGCTACTAAGTAATGTCTACCTCCTAGAGGCTGCATTCAAGCACTCCGTCAAATGAGATTTCGGAAAACGCCGCGAAAGTCCGGACTCTGTAGCATGATCTGCATCGCTTTCCAAGTAGCCGGACGAAGCCATCACGAGGCTTGTATGATCCCGTGGTTGGAAAGGTGTCAGCTATCCGCGGTGATGTTCAAGTTGAAGTGAAGCACCCAGATGTTCGACAGGTTGATTTTCACTGCACGGTGACGCCTGGACGTTCGGCTAGGTAGCCTAATGCGGCGGCTGGCAGCGGCGAACTTCTCCAATAAATGCAGTCGATCTGCTGCATCAAGGACCATTGTTTACTCCCACTTATGTACTATCGTGAATCGCCTACTGCTGTGCGCAACGAACACGATGGCGGGAGTCATACCGCAGGTGAAGATCGAGCACGCGCCCGATGTCAACATCAAGAATGAGCAGGAAGATGTTGACATGCCATCGCCCGCAGGCTACGTGGACGACGATGATGGAGACGAAGATGCTGGCGACCTAGACTTCGCGCAGGCAGCCCAGACACTATGGCTCAGTCACATCCCACGGTCATTATGGGAAGATCTTGCCAAACTTCAGGACGATGACGAGATTGATCTGGGTACGATCAGAGTGGAGGGTCCCGAGGATAATCCATCAAGAGTATGTCCGCTATATCATGCCCCAGGCTGAGTCTGACCCGTGCACAGGTCGTATTGAAGCTGAACAACCTCTCTCAACTCGAAGAACAGCACAAGGAGTACGACCTGATCAAACCACCAGAGGGAAAGGTTCGATTGCGGAGAGAGGGCGGTACTATGGTCTTCTCTGAGAAAGATTTGCCCGGCTTCAAAGCACGATCATACGCCTGGGATCAAGACGACGACGAGACAGGCCAAGGACGATCCAAACTCTACGACGATGCAAAGCGAAGTAGGAGAAATAAAGAGCGGAGAGAGCAGCCAGGTGGCTTCAAGCCATACAGACGAGCTATCCCCAAGCACACAGCGCTGGCAGGCACCGTGACGAAAGAGTTCGATGCAGTCGCAGTCAGGAATGCAGAATACGAGCGAATCGAGCGCCTGAAACTCGCCAAGCTGATGGCAGCACCTAAACCGGAAGAAGCGACCACCATGCTGGCACCTCACGAGGACCCGACTCGAAGACAAAATGTCACAAGCATGCGGCAACGGCAACAAGAGAACAAGGCAAGTCATACTGTGGCGGTGTCCATTACTGTGCTAACTACATCCAGGCTGCAGCAGCTCGCCGGCAAGCCGTCAAGGACAGCCGAACAAGCAGAATGGAATCCAAGGATCTGGTTCGCTTGCTTCTGGAGCACTTCAAGCAGCATCGGATATGGGGACTACGAGATCTCAAGGCTTCTCTTCAGCAGCCGGAGTCGTTCATTCGAGAAACTTTACAAGATATCGCCTTCATGCACAAACATGGTGACTTCAATGGGAAATGGGAGCTGAAGGAGGAATACAAAGCCCAGGATGATGCACTGCTCAACCCACAAGGTCTGGAGGCGCCCAAACAGGAAGACACGGATATGGATGTGTCTGGCATGGACGATGATGATGACGATGAGGATGAGAAGTTCGAGGATGTTTAATGAGCGTCGGTGTTGGAGGACCCCTTCCGACTCTATGGATATGACATTGGGTTAGCGCGGCGTTGGAGGACACGATCATAGGCTCGGGATGCTGCTGGACCATGGATCTGGAAAAGTGCATGAAGCCATAGCGTTCGGGTACTGGCATATTCATAAGTTCTGCGCGAGGACTGCTCCGCCAGAAGATTCTAGATACGGTTTCCGCTGGAAGGCAAACAAGTGACAGTCACAACCGACGGCAGTAGCCGAGTGCTTCTGATGATGGAGGTTCTAGTAGGTCAGGGAGGACTCTGAAGTTCCGACAACGTTTCGCAGATCGAGTTAGTGGTTCTGAGATGAACGTCGCTGGGCCGTCACCGAATTGTCACTGGAGCGTCCGTTGGGCGTCACTGAAGCATCCCTTGAGCATTGCTTGAGCTTTGCCTGAGGATCGCTTGAGCCTCTCTGGATCGTCCCTTGAGTGTCGCTTGAGCCTCTCTTGACCTTTCCAGAAGACCGTGAAGCTTGCTGCCACAACCAACATTTCTTCGTAGCCGGTCGCTCACACCATCTTTCCTGGGAAGGGCACATCGAAAAATCCTGGCCAGGGAGGACGCTGTAGAAACACAGCTGCCGCACACGATGGCCAACGATGACGAGACCATCCAACTACTGCGAAGTCGTTCTCACTATCATGGTGCTGAAGTTCACTAACGATGGCAGATGCGGCTGCGGACCGAAAGAAGCATTTACGACCTGATCAGTGGCTGCAGCCTATCCGCACCGACGAAAGCGATTTGATCACTCCTAGGGAGGACTCTGAATGCTCAAGCTCGATAAGTCCCGGCAGCACCATTCCCACGATCGAGAAGCCCAAGAAACTATGTCGAAACTACTGCTTGCGAGGTATGGCTGCAAAGTTCCAAACCAGTCTCCGAAGGCTCTTAGCGATACTGAAAAATCCCCAGGGTTCTGCAACAAGTTTCCTTGTGAGTATCGCCATGATGCTTCCAAGACTGCGTTGTGCTCCGCGGCGGCGATGGGACTACGTTGCTCGGTCACCTTGAGTCCCATGAAACAATGCTTGCTGCAGCACACCCCGACCCCTCACAACCTCTACCACTGTGTCTTCTTCCTCCAAGGACTGTGCGTCAACCTGGATTGCTCCTTCCTTCACCGTCCGGTCGATGCAGATGCTTTGGCTTGTCACGAGTTCGCTACGATTGGCTACTGTGAGGCGGGCTCTAGCTGCAAAGAGGTCCATGTCCAACCCTGTTCGTCCGCTTCTACCGATGACTGTGGTCATTGGACCTGCAAGCTGGTGCGTCCACGACCACAGAAGAAGAAGCCGACAGATACGATTGGGAAGGACTCTGAGCCGGAAAGACTTCTGGGCGGTGGCAAGTCGTCAATGACCACAGACCGGTTCGTCAAGGCGCTCGCGGAGGAGGACTTCGTCGGCCCTGTCAAGGTTCAGACGGGACAGGCTCTAGCAGAGGATGCTTTCGCTCCGAATCAGGATTCGATCTTGTTCGAGTGATTGGGCATTGACCTTGGTCCCGAAGGGCAATATCCGCGTTGCATTCAAAATCCGATACAGCGGCCTCCCTGGCTCGGTTTTCACAACGGATCGATTGCTACGAAGTGACGCTCAAGTGACGCTTGTCCCAAAACGACAGGTCTGATCAGCTAGACGAATCCACGCCTACAGCGGCTTCCCTGGCCTCCTTTCCATCATGCATCTGTTGCTACGCAGGCTCGCTTCCAGTCGACCAGGATCGCGATCAAAATCAGACGTTGAAGCAAACCAGGCAACAGAACGTCACGTTACTCCTGAACAAGGCAGCGGCTGCATGGACTGTCAACGAATGACATCAATAAGGCATGGGAGGATTCGATGGTGAAACAGGGCGTTCCAGAGGTTGGAAAGACAGTGGTCGCCTCACGTTGGGCAGCAATGTCAATATAGATCCATGCGTAGTCATCCATTGGTTCAGCTTTAATATTCATACCTACCTAATCCAGAATTGCGCAGAGGTCCCGAGGTCGATGAGGGGCTGTATCGTCTCGTCTCGTTCATGACGCAGCTTTCGATCTCTGACGACCGTTGTAACGCCTGGGTTGTGGCTGACGGCCGCAAGACTGTACTAGCACAACCCAGTATCAGGCGAAGTGCCCAACAATGGCTGCCATACAACCATCCTCTCGGGGCAGGCGCACTGTGTTCAAAATGAAGAAGCCACGCCCCGAACCGCCGCCTAGCGCCGCCCGGAGTTTTAAGGATCTTCCCAAGTTCCGTTAATCGGAGATCTTGCAACCTTGATCTTTACGCGACATCATGGGAGCAGGCGGACGCGTTTGGCCTGTTTCTCACGTTCCTGTGACCTCTTCCGTTCGATCGTGACGTCGGCAGCTGATGATGTTACTGTGCCCTCCCTGGCCATTACCCATCGAAACAATTACCGCTCCAGAGCGACTCGCGGCGCCCGGAGGTCCTGGAAGACATCGACATCATCGAACTCAAGATCGCAAGTTCCTATACCTGCCTCAGAAAATAGCCGAGAGGTCTGAAGCGGCGGTCAACCCAAACTTGGAACAAATGAACCACTCGAACACTGAATAATAAACACCAGTCCTCTCAAGCAAGCGTTGCGTCTCAGGACCTGATTCGACCTCTGATCTAAACAAACCAGAGCAACCCTGACCCGGCCGCATCACGGTCGCATGATTTAGCTCCATATACGACACCACTCAAGCTCCGCCGAGGCCCAACTGTGCATACACCTTGCATTGGCTCGACTCAAAAACCTCTGCTCTGATTGCTCCTTCTGTTGTGCTCGATCTGTGCCCAAGATCACGCTCAACTCCTCACGAGCCATCAGACTCTCCAAGTCTTTCTCCTCTTCGACCGCCGAAAAGGCGTCACCTCCCGTTCGTCCCCTTTCTGGTCTCACTCTCCACCTCTGGTCAACGGCCTCTCACGATACGGCCTGACTCCAGTGTTTTGGTGGCTGGTCGAAACTCCTCATTAACGGGCTATCTGGTACGGTATTGTATCGGACCGCTTCTCAAAGGATTGTCAACCCGACCAGTGTCCACAAAGCCTACTCAGACTTCGTTCCGGGTCTTGAATTTCACTTTATATCTTCTCTTGCTCGCCTCGCCTGCGTCAGCCATGCTTTGACCATATTGCGCACAGTCCTCCTGTCGCCGATGCATATGTCTACCGTCATGGCAGATCGACTTTGAACTGTGGTGCCCCACCTTGTCCACACCGCCTTTTTCACAACCCACAACAGCCATCCGACATTGTGCAATATGGCACAGCCGTACCTGCAGCAACCTTACGATGTGCATGCGCCGGCGTTATGGGAAGGCGACGGAAAGCATAACTATCCTAGCGACGGCGCACACCTCGTCGACGGTCCAGCCTTCTACGACGCCCCATCCCACACGATGGCCGGTGCCCGGCTACATCGACAGCCTTCGGTCGTGAAGTTGGAGGAAGACTTTCATACACAGCATACATGGCAGCAGCGTCCGCACAGTCCTTCCTTCCAAGCGCGTCACTACTCTGTCCCGAACATCCCGCATATCGATACACAACCCCGGCACATGCCAAAGATGTACGAACAGCCGTACACACCTCATTACGGGCCTCCGCATGCCTGGCCAATGCCCTCGGCTTCTGGATCAAGCACACCTACGCCACACTACGGTCCTGTCGTGGAAGCCGGCATGCCTGTCTCCTTCAACTCGGCAACTGGCATGTACCCATACCAGCAGCACCCTCATCGATCTGTTGCCATGTCACCTCAGTCAAGTCAAGGTGGCTGGGTGTCTGCTACTTCGGACGATAGTGGAGGGCAACACGATGAAGCTGATAGTCCAAAGCTACGACCTACGTCGCCTATGACAGTCCAGAGATCAGATGGCATCCGAAAGAAGAATGCACGATTCGAGATCCCCAATCACGTCAACCTTGCTACTGTAGAGAAACTCATCCTGGAGGAGACGAACGACGATCGGAAGAAGGAACTCAAGCAGCAGAAGCGGTTGCTTAGGAACCGACAGGCAGCGTAAGTGATGTCGACGATGGCAACGACACTGCGTTACTGACATTCCTCAGGCTTGATTCCCGCTCTCGCAAGAGACTTGAGATGGACAATCTACAGACCGAAAAGAAGGTCTGGGAAGCAAAGCACAAAGAACTCACCGACGAGATTGCACGCCTTCAGACTGTGATGGACTATGAGCGAGAGCAGATGATGCATCAGCGGCAACAATATGAGACATTCATCCAGAGACTCACCTTCGAACGAGACGAGGCGATCCGGCTGCGGACTATCGAGACGACCGAAACTCGCCGCCAGAATAATGTGCTCAAAGACTGTGTAAGAGATCTCGAGAGGCAAGCGTCACGTGGATTTTCGACCTCTACTTCGGAACCATACAATCATGACGATTACCCCAGTTTTGGCAGCTTGGAGCTAGATGATGAGAACTGGGAAGACGAGTTCAGCCTTATCAACACCGAAGATCTGAAGATGGACAACGAAGACAGTCCACAGCGACAGCTCACTCCTCGCCCGCTGCCTATACCTCAGCATGTCGATGTCTCTTCGACCATTACGGTGCCATCCAAAGCAGAGTCTAGTTTCAGCTGGAACACTTTCTGCATGTGTCTTCTTATTGGCGCTTTCATGGCCTCTCAGCAGAGCTCAACCACAGATCAAGCAACGGCGGCAGCCCGAAGTCGGCTACGGCGCTTGACAATGCCGTCTTGCCGTCGCTTACGGACGAGTACCGCGCAGAGGCAAACAATGTCCTCAAAGCTGTGCTCGACAGCGACGGCGCTGGGCCAATGCTGCAATCATCACTCGTGCCATCGGCTCGACCCACGACGCTTGGCCACCCTCCACGTCACGCCAGTCCCAGTCACAGCCGTCGCGACTGGATACACTCTCGGCTCAGCTCACAACACCAACTCGCCAGCAACAGGTTGCCGCCGCCTTCGCACTCACTCCCGAACAGTACGAGCACACTGTCAACCCAGAAGGCTCCCTCGCCACCCCGACCACTCGATTGCTGAGCCAGAGGTCGTTCACAAACCGACGCCACTGCAAGTCATGTTCGCGAAGATGCAAGCCGAGCAAGATGAGATGGAACGTGCCGTCGGCCTGGGCAAATCTCGCGAGCGCTCTGTCATGCTTGATCGGGTTCCTGAGCAGGTTCTGCAGGACTTCAGGAGACTCATTGCTGATCGTGAGGGCAGAGATCATGACGCATAGGACTTTTTGACCGCCCGCTGTTGCTGGCTCTTTGCAGCGTTCTCCTTTGACCATGCATCCTTAGCCTTTCGTCGGCATGAAGGAAGGGATGCACCGCAAGCCTCCGCCGCATCACCACCACGCCCGCTCTTTCGAGTCGGCTCCCTCTACCACCTCCAGCATCCACATAACGACGCGTTTCACACGATCGATTAATGATGATACGAAAAAAGACGACACAAAGATATGGTTTCATTACCGTCCGGCCGCAGGGCCTACCAAATCACACCAGTATTGCATATTTGCTAGCGCTATTCATCACTTCTGGATTCTTACCATGTCTACCTCATCTCCTTTCCCATTCTCCAATACGACACGACATGACCTGCCACGCCTATGGCTCTTCCAATATCGACGACTTTCAAGCGACTCTATGACATCTACAAAGCGCTACGACAGTACAGAACATTCTGACGCCCACACGAAAGCAGTTCATCGCTGCGACGCTACCGAACCTTTACGACACGATTTTCTTTTGTATACTTTTGCATGGCATGCCGAGATAAAGCGATGGGCTTGACATGACACGGCTATAGGAGCCTGCGTTGAATCGACGAGTGGATAGAGGAAAGCCGTTGATCGCTGTTGCAAGAACAGCACCAATGAGAGTCGATGAGATTCAGGAGAAGTTGCCCGTGGGATACGACGATGACGACTTCATGTAGCGACCTTAGCTCAGCCGCCTGAGCGGATAGTGTGCATGAGCGAATGAATGAATGTATGACTTGCACGATGTCTTTCCAGTGCTCAAGATGGAAGTTCTCCTAACAGACATAAGTCTCTCTTTTTACAGATTGGTATCGATGGCGGTAGTATAAGGAAGGGTGATGGATGTGCCGAACGATTTTGAGAAGGCGCTGTAGAGCCCCGAATAGGAAGGTGCGAATCGGTGTTACTTGTATCACAAGCCTGGATGGCAGCTTTTTACAACCTACCACTCACTCATCATCATAGTAGATTCGTTGCGTTGGTCGGCTCCCATCTGCATTGTCGAGCAACTAAGCAATGACGGTCGTCCCGATACTTTAATCCTTGATGGACGGCTTTTGAAATGAGTTTGCACACCCAGGTTGAGCTTGAGCGGTCTTGACCGGGTGGCCGTCGATTGCGACGGCCGGGATGCTTTTGGCATCTCGAGAACACCAAATGCGAATCCGTCAATCTCAATTGCTGTCACAAAGCCTTTATGAGAAACACGAAGCGAAGCGCTGTTCAGTCGTCGTTATGGAAACCACAACCCGCTGCTACAGAGGACGATGAGTTGAGAAGACCTTTGCTCGCGTCCAAAATCGATCATATATAGGTTGAGGTCTTTGAGATGACAACATGGTAAGTGACATACACGTTGTTGATCTCCGTGATCTTTTGGTGTTTGGTCTCTGGCAAGTGAAGGTTGCCTTTTTGCAATTGTTTGCTATGTCGCCTAGATATCTGCAGAAAGCCTCTTCACTACAACAAACTCTACGCCTGTTGCATCGACTTGCTAAGAAACATCCTTTATCGCATCTGAAAATCCTCCCAGGGAGCACTCTGTGGATTGCTTCCTAGCAGGCTGCTCAAGCGACGTCTGTCCAGTGCTTCTCGTCGACATGGCGACAGGCGCCAATTTTCAGAGTGTTGAAGACACCTGCATCATGTGTCCCCGAATCGGCAGCAAGTTCTGTCCCAAATGCCACGACGCTCGCTATTGTAGCAAAGGTATTGAAGCCCTCTCCAACGCGTATTATACGGACTAATAGTGTTACATAGATTGTCAAGCGCTGGATTGGAGCAACCACAAGATCATATGCAAATCCTTCAACCACTCTCGACCCAGCGACCTTCATCGCCGCGTCCTCCTATTCCCCGGCGGCAACACACCACCGCGCTTCGAGTGGCTGGAGGCGTGGCCGATTTCTGCACTTGGTTTGCCTGGCAGTGGCGAGTTTCTCAACACACCCATCATTCTCGGAACTGAGAACTCGGATCTCAACAACTGCGTCTGGAACACAATTCAAGGTCGTATAGTTCGCCGAAAGAGGGAAGAGTCGCTGTACTATTTCAAGCAATCACAAGACGATCCCGACTTCCCTTCCCCAATGATTACGAACCATGGTCTTCGTGCTTTCACGAGAGCGGGTGCTTGTCGCGATTCGATGAAAGGGCCCATTATAGTCAGCAGAGTCGCTGAGTTCGAGTTGATGCAGCTCACTCACCGTGACATGGACATGAGAGACGCACGAAATACTGCTGACTGGCTAAGCCAAGTTGGTCGTGAACGTGGGACTGTTCACGCAGCCAATCTACGCGACACTGAGGTCCTTGGCACGACAATTGAGAGCAACGGTCGGGTCATCAATCAAGGCTGCCCCCAATTCAGCAACGTACGTATCACCGGCGACGATGTCCTTTGGACCTCCGAGGGTAGTCAGATTGCCAACCTGCTCGGTCTGCCTCTCCTGTTTCGATCGTCCAGCTACGGGAAGGGCACCCTCATTCCACATCCAGTTCTCGAGAATCCCGCAGCCACTTTGCTCCACCGCGATGTCATATCCAAGAAAGTCCTCGAAGCGTCTGGTCTGAAGGGCGCCCAGAAGCAATTGACCTACTATGGCGACCACAAGTTCGAAGCAGAACGTGAGCGCTTGGCCTTCGTGGGCATCACTGGCTTTGGGTCTTCCATGTCAGCGTACAGTATTGTGCCGGACACTTGCTATGTTGCTCGCGCCGACGGCAAGCCCCTACCGAAAGAGCACACGGAAGCTATCTGCTCCTACATCGCCGACAAAATCGAGCCGCAGCTAATCGCTGCCACCGATGACCTCTACGAAAATGACCTCGTTACCAAGCGCGACGAGATCTTGGACAGCATCACCAAAGACAGCTTCCTCGAGTACTATGAGGCTATGAGGGAGGAAAAGGTCAAGCGATGCAACATGAGCTGGCGCGACTTGCCCAACCCCTACGAGATCAAGGAATTTGACGTCGGACTGCTCAAGGCACATGCTCCTCGTGTTCCTACCTTCGTCCATCCACCAATCCCGCGGATCGGTCCCATCGAAAACTATGGTTGGCCTCCTAACGAAGAACGGACCTACCGAGTTGCTTGAGCTGATGATGTGGGCCGTCACGGCAGGAATGATGTTGGTGGCGAGAGAGAAAAGAACGCGATCGCGTTGCTGAAACATCAGGACCTGCTGGCGTGCATCCATGATGCGGCCCTCACATTCCCAACGCTCCTCAGACAACCGGCTCTCTCGAAAGATTGCAAGCGGATGTCTCTGATTCGGATAAAATCACGATCGATTCCTGCTCAGCTCGACGTTGGGGGAACGATTTAACGGTGCGAAGGCTAGCGACAAACGTCCAATCGAGCAAGACTCCTGAACGGGATGGGAGAGATGGAAGGACCTCATGGTCCAAAATTCGTACCTAGTATACATGTGTACTGGATATCGCGTGTCGATGCATGCTTCTGTACGCACTGAACTCGCGCCAGTCATCCTCCGACGGTCTCCTTCTCTTTCCAATGCCCGCTAACGACACAATGCCAACGCCTATGCCAATGCCCTTGTCTCTGCCTACCTCAACATGCTCACTTCGGATCATACTTCTCCTTCCAGATCCAACTCTCCCCAACCACCTTCTCCCCATTCTTCTCCGCCAGTCTCAGCAGCTGGGCTGCCTTGAACTTGTCCTTCTTCCCGCCGAAACCCTCTAGATAGCACCATGCCGCCTCCCGCATCGCGTCAGTCTCTCCCAAGTTCGCTGCCGTCTCGTAGTACTGCCTCGCAGCAACCTTATCCACAGGAACGCCCCATCCATTGCGAAAACAGTTCGCCAGTTCAAAGATCGCCAGAACCAACTCCCCTCTTGCCGCACCGCCTTTCTTCATGCCAGACTGCAGGGCAAGCGCCTCGACTTCGCCAGCGTCCGCGGCCGCGCGGGAGAGGTACGTCACCGCTAACGCCGGATCAGGCTTACAGCCCCATCCATGCCGCAGCGACAAGCCAAAAAGCACCTGCGACAACACATTCCCCTGATCCGCCAACTGATGGAACATCTCAGTCGCCCCCTCCAACTGCCCCGCCTCATGTAACCGGATCGCCTCTTGGATGTTCACATCCGCAGCCGCATCACTCACACTACGAGGCCGACTCGGGCTGCGCGGCTGTTGCTGATGTTGTTCCCCAAACCCAAAATTAAGACGGCTCATCTCATCCACCGGCGTTATAGCAGGCGAGGGCACGCCTGCGCTGGCCAGACTAGGGCTCTTCCGCGCCAGGCGGGTCGCGCGATCTTCCCATTTCGCTTCGGTGTCCTCGCGGTTGGACAGGTCGCGGAAGTCGTCGTCGATAGGGGGAAGGTCTTGGGGGAGGTGGGTTGAGCTGGTGCTTGCGGAGCGGGATTTGCGTAGCGATTTGCCTGACAGGTGCAGGCGTTGGGAGAGGCGGCGGGTGGTGCCCCCGCTGCCTTCTTTGGGGCTGGTGAGGGAGGGTGAGGAGTCTGATGGTGGTAGTGGTGGTTCTGAGGAGGGAGAGGAGGGTGATTTTGACTTCCGCCGAAAGTGTCCGCTGAAGCCTTTGCGCCGCGGGGAATGCGCTGGTTCGGGCTCGGGGTCTGGGCCGTCGGGAGGTTGGATGAAGTCTTGGGTGTGTGTGTCGGTGCGGACGAAGGTGAATTCGGTGGCTTGGGTTGCCATTGTGTTGTGTTGGGTGCGCGGGCGCGTTGGGCGCAAGGTGAGGACCTGCCTGCGGAGGGGGGCCTTTGTTATAGGAGGCCGAGAGGGCCAAGTGAGGCAGTGAATACGAGAAGTTGCGGGTGAGGTGTTCTTGCTGGGACGTAGTTTCGGAGAGGAAGGTAGGAGGTATCCCCGGACTGCCCCGCCTTATCGCCGGCGTCGACATCGACATCATGATCATGGCACCTGTAGGAACTTGTACTCCTTCCTGTCTGATTCTTATCAGCTTCACGACGTACCAAGGTCATAGGGCAGGTCTCTGGTGACTTTGGCATTAATCCTTCCGTGTGATATGTGAGCCGACGTCTGTGACTTCGCCGTCCTTACAATCTTGACGGAGCCACTAGACCAGCACGATGGCGACTTTTCCATTGATTGATTTACCTCAAGAAATTCTCGGACGCGTGCTGTCGTTCCTCTTGCCCGGAGATGTGGCACAATTCGGTCAAACATGTCGAAGGGCTTGTAGCTTCGTCAGCCCGGACAATCAATTGCTCTGGGTGAGTTCATTATGCCTTCTGGCATCTTCATCACGCACCTCGAAAACGTCCGGACGGCGCAAGAAGCCACATATGGTATTCGATCTACTGACGCCTGCCAGCGAGATGCCTTCCTGCATGTCTACGACGACCCGGAGCCGGCATTAAACAACCCGTATACATCCACTCAGAAAACTGCGGAAACGTTTGACTGGTATCAGGAAGTGAAGGCCCGCACCTCGACGGTAGGTCAATGTCATTTGACATAGATCAGTACTAATGCCACCAAGCTGAAATTTCTGGGACGCGGATGGCATCCCGACAAGCAAAAGTACACCAACGAGGACCAGCAAAGGCATCTCGACACTATATTGAGCATGATTGACACCGCCAGGACGCAACCTTCACCATCAGGAACCGCGGCAGGCGTGCCACATCGGCAGGACGACCGCTCATCCCGCAATATTGAATCGCTAACGTCCATCATTCAAGAGTCTCCCAACGGCCTTGAGCGCCTGATATTTGATATCGCCAGCCGTGACTTGTCCAAAGAGCCCAGCCGCATGACGCGATCAGTGTCCAACTCGTTGTTGGACAATCAGCGCTCCGCAGCCGCCCGGAGGCTGCACACGTTGCTTGGGCCGGCTCATCAAGACAGGCATGTGAGGAAGCATGCTGGCCGGAAATACGTATATGACTGGTCTCTGACGACCGAGGCAAACGACTATGGCCCATTCCTCAAAGATGGCTCCGGACGCGTTGACTGGACCTTGCTTGAGGCTGCCATGACCTGCATCGCTAACAATTTTGACATCTCTGTCGAGGGCCGCCTGTCAGCTCCCGTAGGGCTACATTACTCGATACCATACCGCACAGTGATCGATTCAACGAAGCCGGAGGACTGGGCTGGTGTCACTGGCAAGTGGTTGGGGACTTATGCATTTCTCGACTATGCCAGTCTGCTTGCATGGAACTCAGGTCTCATGGGCCACGATGTCGGCTTCCCGACGTTGACGGACCTGAGCAATGAGCCCGAGGCTTGCGGCGACTTGCTGATGATGGATCTGAAACTCGACGACAGCTTGCGGACTGATCCTGTCCTTAGATCGAATGTTCCATTTAGCGATAAGTTGCCACCATTGTATTTCAAGGGTACCTCGCGCGGATCAGAGTACCCGAATCATCCCGTCACAACGATCAAAGGCTTCTGCGCTTTGGTCGTCGGTGGCAGGGAAGTCAAGTGGAAGTTTGTCGTTGAGTATCACGGAGTCGACCAATGGCAGCTCGAAGGAGTTCAGCCTGGTGGCATTCGCTCGGGCGGTATCTTTGGATGTGAGTCCTTTCACCACGGCCCACAATGTCTGCAGAGGCGCTGACGCTTGATAGTATGGTCCAACGTTGAGCACGAACCCAATGGCCCTGTTGGACCATTCTGCTACTATCCGCACTCACTGTGTAAGTCCACTAGTGTGGTCCTGATGAGCAATCAAGACGAGCTCGAATAGGCTTGGCGCACGGGTAGGATCTATTGCCCGTCGTCCAGCATGCCAGAAATACACTGACAGTGCCACAGGTCAACCCTCACTACCACGGATCGACAGTGCCACAGGTCGACCCTCATCGTGACGGATCGCCAGAGACCTCCCCGAACCTTTCAATTTTCGCGCTCTGGAGCATATCAATATTTTGGAGACCTTCGACCTCGATAGTTTGTTGGACACATCGTACAACGCTGCTGTCGCAGTCCTGAGTCCGGTGCTACGAGAGATGTTCAACGGCAACATGGGCGAATCCTTTAGCCTCTAGCCCACCATGGAAGACTCTGATATTCTGAAGAACTTCGACTTCGACAGCTTCTTGACTAACGTCGACCAACGCCGCTTCCAACTCCAATTTGCACGGGGAACGATGGGAGCCTCAGCCCACAGGAACTACAAACGCTCTTGGAGCAGCGCCCACCGCGTCAGCATGATCGATCCGGGCAATGATGAGCACCGTGGAACAGTACTCGAACATCCCTTAGACATTCGTAATTAGAAGTCATAGCCGACCTGTACAGGCAGCTTGCAGTCGGCCCATGCTCATTCCTGAGGCGCTCCTGTCTCATCGGGCGTTCTCAGCCTTTAGGGCTTCTCTATAATAGTCTTGACAGCCAGGCGGCGAAGGCCTCGGCCTGCAAGCCACAAATATGCATATTTGACAATTCTCAAGCCACAAACCACTTCTGGTGGGCACCACGGCGGAACCTCGTTCTCAGCATTAATAGAAGTGCTGCATTCGTAGATGATCTCGCCTGACCAACAACCTTGACGAAGACGCAGTCACGGCCCTCTGCATCCTTTGAACTTCGCGAGCCGAACATGGCTATGACAAAGATGACGACAAGATCAGCACATCTGAAGTTGGGGTCGATCAAGCATTCCTGGGGATCAAGCTTAGCTGAGCTTCTAGGCTTCGTATAGTTTAAGCCCATGCCGAAAGTCCGTCGGCCAGGCCCTGTCAGTGCCAATCATTTGGGCCATATCCGCTCGGTTGGCTGACTTCGGCGCTCGCGTGCTGGAAATAACTTTTTTTGTAGCACTTTAACTCGATCTGTGTCTGTCACATACGAGAAATCGACTGTCGTGCAAGCCTATCTGGGCTAGAATGATCGCATCACTGCACCTACGGACTACTAATCCGTCATCATGCGGTGGCTCTGTATGGTGTGACCGGACCCTTTATTGCACGAGCACGCCATGTGAGCTACTGCATGAGCCACCTGCTCGGGAGTGGGAGCATTCCTCTCTGGTACGTTCATAAGCCTGGCATCGCCCTTCTGCCGCAGAGCAGCTTTCGATAACATCGAAATTCCTCCTGACATCATCTACCTTGTCGGCAGAGAGCAATACAGTGCAGTATGATGGCTCGATACCTGTTAGGGTTCGTGTTGTAAGTCACATCAGGCTGAAGCATCCTCTACAGATCCTTAACACATCCAGACCTACCTCAATCTTCGGTACCTCCGCCTCAACAGCAGACGCAAATTTCTTCAACGAGCCATCGACCATGAGACCTCGCCTGACTGCTGCTGCTGCTGCAATTCAGAAAGACGATTCGACATCTCCCAATCCGGCCAGTGATGCGAACTGCTACGACATCGTCGCTCGAGGACCTCAAGCAATGAACCATGCTGCGCTCGCTGCGTGAAGCCTGATGCACGATCAACTCTGAGCTATTCGCTAGGAATTTCAATCGACCCAGCTCTATCGACAAAGAGCTCTTCTGACTCCTCGGAGCTACACAAAGCTCACCGCCATCCAGTGACAAAGCGGTGTCTGAGACAGGCGTTGACGCCATCGACGCTATCGGTGTCTCCACAGCTCGGCATCAACCATTCCGGTCTCGAAAACATCCTCGAAGATTCTTAACATGTCCTCGGCACCAGAACCACAACCATGATGTGATCGTCTACAACTCTCCGTGGCATTCTACGACTTCAATGTAACCACTAGACTCGGATAGAGCTACCCATCATGCCAGAAGCGCAGATGCCGAGAACGCAACACTGCCCGTGACGGCGGCCAGACAAGCAGAATCCCCAAATGTCGATCTAGCGAGATAAGCCAAGCCCATCCGCTCCGTACGCCGATGCAAAGCACGCAATTCGACGCTACGATTGCTTCATCACCGGCAGCGGGCAAGTGCAAGCTTGAGGCGGCTTTGTACCGCGGACACACTTCGATCGTCGCGCCTTGTTGGGGCTCACGAGCATGTGCAAAATCATCCTGTCGAATCAACGACGGTCGTGTGTTTGGCATGCAGGCTAGCCTTGCCGACTGCCGTGTCTTGATGAGCTTGACTCTGCATCTGGACATCACTTTGCACGGGTTTGCTAGAGCGTCGGAGCTGGCTTGCTCCGCCAGCAAGGGGTTGATTCATGATGCATTCGTTGTCCGGAAACCGCGAAGACCAGGCTCTTGTTGCTCGACAAGGGCTCTTGCAGACGGGCGCTTATGGTTCCGACAGGCTGACCCCAGGTGCCAGTGCTGGAGTAATACACATGTCTGTTCTGGCGGGCGGGCGAGCGTCGCGTCGGTCAGACCGGTCTCGGTATATAGGCGGCAGTATTACAGGAAGGGCGTGCAGGAAAGACCATGTCTGAGAAGTGGTCTCTGTCACCATAAGGTGCAACAGAACTTGGATCTCCTGCAAAGTGTATACATCACGTATGATTCACAACATCGAATATCTTCGATTCATTTCTGTGGGCTACAGAGCCAGACCTCTACTCCCTCTCGTCCACCTGTACAAACTCAGCGCACTTCTCCTCGCCTTGACTTCCTCTGTCTCAACTTCACTATCCCGTCGGTGGTTCCCATTAGCCCCTTCTCCAGCGGCAGTATCGATCCCCTCGCCATTGATGTTCTTCCTGACCTCGTACAGCGTCGCCCTGAGCACTTTCCGAAACCGCTTCTGAAACTCCGTGCTCAACGTCACAACGCATACCTCGTGGGCTCGGATGATCGTTTCACAAGCGCGCTCGACGCTCTCATTCTGCCCGACCTGCGGCATCCGATCTGCGAAGAGCAGCAGAATGAAGGAGCCGTGGAGGAGGTAGATGCCAAGCAGGTACGGCATGAAGGTCAGCTCAGGATCAGCAGATAGGATCGTCTCGACAGCCTCGGATGCGAGGATCGCATGTGAAGCGCATTTCATGAACTCGACGGACGTGATCCAGTTGCTGATACCCAAGGAAGATGGACCATGTGCTTGGGAAGGCGACGGGGGTGGAGTGTCTGGGGACAGCATGCTGACAGCATCCCATTTGCCGTGGAGAAGGACGTGGAGGACGTTAACGATGAAGCGGGCGTAAGAGGTGACTAGCAATACTTGCCCACGTCTCAGTTTCCGTGCTTGTGGGAAGTGTGTGGTGGATGCGCTGAATGGGCCTTGGTCGGTTGGGGAGTAGTTCGTGCTCGGAGTCATGACGGGGTTGCCCATATAGTTTGCGGGGATTTGTTGGGTGCCATTGCTGTATTTGTCCACATCATGAAGGGCCGACAAATCGTCGATGGAACGTGCACAGCTCTCGAGGAGGGTCTCGATCATGGCTACTGCTGCGGTGTCGTTGAGAGTTCCTAGGCGAGGATGCGAGGAACGCCGATGGGTTTCGATGACGTCGCCAAGAAGAGTCATCAGCGGAGTGAAGTACTCGAAGAACCCAACGCCACTGACCACAGTCGGTGGTCCGAAGGTACGTCGAGCCAAGACCTCGGAAGGAGCAGTCTCCAGGTTCTCCCAGGTATCATCAGGCAACGGACTGTACACATGAACCTCGTCATCGTGAATGAAGAGATTACCGTTGAACGACAGCGCTAGATGTCGATCGAGCGAGAACAGAAGCCAGAACACTCGCCGTCTCTCCTCTTGCGCCTCAATTTCAGCTAACGGTGAGGACGTAAGGTTACTTCGACTGCGACACCCACACAGACTGTTCTTACAAGAGCCGTCAGCCTCGCTGCATAATCCATCGGTCCGGTTCAATCCCATTGATGTCGACAGGTTGAGGGACTTATTGAGCCAAATGAAGCAGTCAGGCTTGAAGTCACCTCCCGATACGACTATTGTGATAAGGATCAGAGTGAGCAGATCATCAATGGTCTGACAAGGTGGCTCGTCGGAACTCATGGTGTCGTCAAAATGCATGTGTGATGAGTGGGAGTGGAATATTTCCTCCTTGAGAAGACGACCACCTAAAGACTGGTCAGCACGGAACTATCGCAGTGACGGTTTCGGGCCTGCTCACCCAAGGCTCTGTGCCAGTGGTCGCGGTCTCGGTCATGGACGAGCGCCATAACAAGCACCCGCAATTTCTCGCATATCTGGCCTCGCCGACCCGGAAGTGACAGAAAAGGAATGTCCGCTGTTTGTGCACTTGTCCATATCATCGTGACAAGCAGAGCGGCCGTGGTCGGTCTGGGATTCCTTGGATGCAGCAGTGAGTGTCTGCGAATGACAGGCGAGAGTACGTATGGAGAGGCATGCCGGAACAGAGCAGAGTCTGGCTCAGCGAAATAGAACTCGAGAAGGTCACATGCCAGTTCGGCTTCGATCACTTCGTCTATGAGCGGCATGACGGGTTCCAGACATTTGTAACGACATGTCGCTTGTCTTCTATCGCCGCTGAAGTGCTGTGTCAATGGAGGAGCGCTCATTGGTGGCAGAACAGGGCGGCTGTGGTCTACCCCGTTGGTCCGTGTGGGTGGTGGAAGCGGCGGGTTGATGAGCTGGCTGATACGCCTGACTGGGTGAGCTATTCTTGGTCGATGCTGGCTATCCTCATCATCGCCATCTCGGATGATACGGGACATCACTTCCCCATTGCTGTAGCCTGCCCCCGGGTAGGCATCAAAGCCTGGCCGACTGCTCGGAATCGGGTCATGAGGAATGGTCTGAACTCTCTCGATGATCCTGGAGTCCTGGCCAGCATTGTTGTGAGATGGTGAACCTGATGCAGGAAGAGGGCTGTAGTGGTCCGGGAGGTCGCCCCAGATATCCGGAGACACGGGTTCCGGTGATGCTTGTGGGACATGCCCTAATCGCTGAGACAGTGGCTTGCGCCCGCGTTTCTTGACATCTCTGGCATAGTTGCAGTCATGGCCGTACTCTACATCCCAGAGGCGTCAGTCTTCGTAAAATTCCTTCAGCATGGCCAGCATACCTTGACAGCGTCGACTATGTGCTCATGGTCAGTAGAGAGCAACCACGAGGCTTGTCTGTCCGCTCACCATGGATGTTCTCCATCGCATCGCACTCGAAAGCTCAGGAGAATTAGCACGGTGCGAGGAACGTTTTTTGTCTGCTCGCTCACCTTGAGCATTTGTCACAGGCCCGTCGAGTCCTCTTTCGAGGCCCGTGACCAAGTGTGGAACGCTCGTGGGCTGCTTCGGTTGCGGGAGACAGATGCGGTTGTGGAGAGCTGACCATAACGAGATCTAGCCGCCATGCGGCGCTGAGTTCACTTTCATGCAATCCGGGGTTGATGTAGAGAATGAAGCAACGGATAAATCGACCCCGCGAAGTCAGAGGGTGACCTTGGGGTCCAACATTTAGCCTGTGGGATCACATCTGCGTTTTCGCCTATGTGTCGAAGTTCGGCAGAGTGCTTTCAGGCTATGAGAAATGTACTGTTTGAGTTTTATCTTCCTGTCATGTCAAGTCTAAGGTGGACAGAGTTAGCAAGTAACTTGTCAGCAGATATGTTGCTCTAGACCTCAGCTGTTGTCGAGAAGAGATCCTGACAGGTGTGACTTCCCATCTGGAAAGGTTGTGGCTGCCGTCGGGTGAATTCGAATTGTGGGCAGTTGCTCCAACCTCCAAACTCCAACGAACGGACTTTGTACCGAGCACAACTCCACGCATCCAGCTACCATGCTCAGCGTCAGCACTACCATGGAACTTGAGGTTACGAATGGACTGCCAGAGAGATGCAGAGGACATCGTAGTCGTCGCAATGCTCACCGATTGACCCGGTGCAAAGGTAGGCAAGAGCACAGAACAAATATATTCGCCACAACTGAGGCAGGTACTTTACTTCGACACCGTCACGATACCCTACGGCAAGCAAAATGGTGAGAATACAAGGATTCAAGTCTCGTGACATTCGGTTTCCGGTACGCCATCACGCCAGTCGTCGTTCGTGAAGGGAGGACATTGCTGACGGCACAGACGTCGCTGGACAAGACCGGAAGCGATGGTAAATGGCATTTACCGCAAGCCTTGTGTATTCGGCTGATCTCATGCTAGGGATGAACCGGGGCCCCGACTATTCGGCGGCATTCTGCATCATCGAGACAGATTCCCAATTTACGGGTCACGGCATGGTGAGATCAGCCTATTTCCACAAGTCTTGGCTGATGCAGGGCTCAGACGTTCACCATAGGCCGCGGCAACGAGCTAGTCTGCTCTGCCATCGACCTAATCGCGCCCCTGATCCTCAACAAGAGCATCGAAGAACTGGCTGAGGACTGGGGCGGGACCTGGAGGTACCTTACTTCGGACTCGCAACTACGATGGGTAGGCCCCGAAAAAGGCGTCATTCATCTTGCTCTTGGAGCAGTAGTCAATGCCTTGTGGGACTTGTGGGCAAAGACTCTAGGCAAGCCGGTCTGGCGAGTCATAGCTGACATGACGCCCGAGGAAATCGTGCGATGCATTGACTTCCGATACATCGAAGACGCCTTGACGAGAGAAGAGGCAGTACGCCTGCTGAAGTCGGCTCTGCCAGGCAAGGAAGATCGTATCAAGGAAGCTCTCCAGAATGAAGCGGTGCCAGCATACACGACAAGCGCTGGCTGGCTTGGCTATAGCGAGGCGAAGATGAGAACACTGCTCAAAGAGAGCGTCGAGGCAGGATTCAAGTACTTCAAGCTCAAGGTGGGTACGGACCTTGAGGAGGACCGACGGAGGTTGAGGATTGCCCGTGAGGTCCTCGGCTATGACCGGGGCTGGGTTGCAGTTGACGCAAATCAAGTCTGGTCAGTGTCGGAAGCCATCGAGTATATGAAACAGCTGGCAGAGTCAGTACAATACCGTTGCCCGCTGCTCCGAGACTAAGCTATGCACAGATTCAAGCCGTGGTTCATCGAGAACGACTCACCTGACGACATCCTGGGTCATGCCGCAATCCGCAAAGGACTTTCTAATACACATCATGGACCAATCAAGGTGGCTACAGGTGAGATGGTCCAAAATCGAGTGATATTCAAGCAGTTGCTCCAGGCGGGGTCCGTGGACATCATCCAGCCAGATGCGTGCCGTGTGGGTGGCGTCAATGAAGTGCTGGCGATACTGCTGCTCGCTCGCAAGTTCAATGTCCCGATTGTGCCTCACTCAGGCGGCGTCGGACTGCCCGAGTATACTTCACATCTGAGTACGATCGATTATGTGGTGATCAGTGGCCAGAAGAGTGTGCTTGAGTACGTGGACCATCTGCATGAGCATTTCATACATCCGTCCAGCGCAGCAAACGGATTCTATGTGACGCCACTGGAACCAGGATATTCGGTGGAGATGAAGGCGGAAAGCATGGACAGATTCGAGTATCCTGGGAAGGAAGGAGTAAGCTGGTGGAAGACTGAAGAGGCAAGAGCGGTCATCGATGCACCGCGGGTATAGCCTGCCGGAAGTTTATGTTCACCAGCTGCAAAATACACGGTGCTGAAATGGGCTTCAAGAAACTTCCCCAAGCCAGCGCATTCCCTGAGCTAGCGTGTTCCCTGAGCCGGCGTATTTCCTGAGCCAGAGTGGTATAGCCGACTGGGTACATCATTTGAATCTTCCGTAATTGAGTCGATAGGGGCCCTGAGGTCGGAGCCCTTGGCAGATGGCGGCTTCGACAGAGCATAATCAATGTAGTCTTCCAATATTGAGCGTACACCATCACAAAGTACCCGATCCGCCTCGACTCTGGCCATGTTCAGGGCCGTTCTGCCGCTCAACGATGAATGTGAAATTCTGTCCTCAATGTCGACAGGCAGTCCCAGCACCTGAGCCGCCGCAGCAATGTTCTCCTGTAAGTCACTCTTCGTGCTAATGCCCGTGATTGTTGACACCTGGAACGTGTCGTATGTACTCTGAGCCGCTTGACTTATCGCGAACCTTAACGAGACTGAAGCCAAAGAGTCGCCTTGCTCAGCGACCCACTGGGAGGCCTGCCTTGCAGCAGCACGTAGTCCGGAGGGCGCGGGATGCCAATCACCAAGCTTTCCTACGGGAACGCCGCCCGAGCGAAGTAGACCACACGCCAATGGACTGGCATTGCACACCGCTCTGACTCCAGCTTTTCGAAGTGCTGCAAACCCATAGCTTTCGAGCCTTGTATTCTGGAGCGACAATTGTGCCCAATTCTGAACCACATCCACCGGCCTCCCGAGCCGCTCACGTACCGCGTCCGCGACTCGAATCATGGCCTCCAAGTCGTAGCCTGAGATACCAGCAAATTTGATCCGTCCTTGATCGACGAGCTCAAACAATGTCGCTACTGCCGCAACTGCTTCCTCGACAGTCACGAACTCGACATCGTGACAGAAAACCACGTCAAGATACATCGTGCCAAAGCGATCAAGCGACCGAGTCAAACTCTTTTTGATCCAGTCTGGCGAGTAGTCGAAGTGGTCTGCCGCAATACGTCCACATTTTGTCATGATGAAGAAGTCTTTGCGACGGTACTGAGATAAAATGTTAGGATGAGACAGAGCCTTCCCGAGCAGCTCCTCCGATGGCTCATAGTACGGGGATGTGTCGATAGCCCTCACACCCTGAGAGAACGCTGCTTCGACGATGTCCAGTACCGAGTCTGCGTCTGGGTCGTGAGTGAGCTGGTAGCTCCAGCCAGCGCCTCCCATGATTAACGGCGGCAAGTTGGGCATCGCCATGGTCGCAGGTTGTTCGGGCATAAACTGAGCGTTTTTTAGCGGGTCAGTTGAACCTCAAGATTTCGAGTTAGGGCGGGCTTTGGAGGCTGGAACTGTTCCGAAGATCGAAGCTGGAAGTTTTGGAGGAGCCTCAGTTGAGCCTCAAGCGGCAGAATCAATCTATCATCAATTTGCCTGCCAGGGAGGTCGCTGTAAGAAATTTGGCGTGAGGTCTGTTAAGGATAGAGAAAACGCTCATTTCTTGTCCGAACAGCTTGGGTCGTGCCTGCCGTTGGGTTCTCATCCATCGCGCTTAGCTCAATGCCACGGTCGACCTCCTTCCGGTTCAAATCGTTGATGCCATCATCGTAGTCGAACAATCGGTTGACGCCGCGTTCAATCCTTAACTTCGAACGCAACAACGCAAACAGACTTGTCTAGTCCTTGACTGCAACACAATCGCGGCGTGCATCCCGAAGTCAACCAACTCGTCTGAAGTTGCGGGTATGCAGCTCCAAAGTTCGATGAAGAGCTCCCGACAGCATCTGCCGACAGTTACCAGATTCGTGAGCAGATCAGCTTCGGTGGAAAGGCGGCCGACGTTCGTGAATTCACGCGTGTGCTTTTTTGCCCCGACGGCACTTATCGAACCTTCGGCGTACCTTATGCCGAATGATGATCGATGTCAGCCCGTGACATCTTCCCACGCACACTGTTCTGGAACATGCACCGTGCTATGGAAGCTTCCGATATTGCTGTCATCTAGTCTGAAAAGCGTCAGCCACACGCCACAGAGTTGTACTCGGCATGTCAATTGCTTCATATCGACTCCAAGAATTAAGCGATGGGCAATAAATTCAGACTTTAGGGATATCGCGCCTGTGATGCACCCAAAACACGCCAAGATAACTTGGCTGATGATCTCAACGAGTCGGAACTCTCTCGTGATCGTCTTCCAAGTCCCACCCCGGTACTACGCTACATTGGCAACGCCTATGGACCATCCCCAGCTTCTTGCCCGCGAAACTATGACGATCATGACCTGTGTCTGCGGGGATCGAACGCCATTGACTCGAGTCGAAGGATTTCCTATCGTAGGTAGGTTGCTGTGTATAAAGCTGGTTATTCCGTTGCCTGGATGAGAGCCTTCTCTCACCCTCTCCACTATTGTCCTGCAAGTCTTCCATTGATCAGTCAAGCCCTCGGAGATGGGCTTCAAGGAGATTGTCGCAAAGCGCTCGGCGCTCAAAACCTCCAACACAGGCGTGACCACCGCATCGCAGCTTACGCTGAAGCAGTCACTGTACCCATTGGCACTCGTCACGAGTTTGTTCTTCCTCTGGGTATGTATGATAACAAAGGCTTCCCACTGCCAGATATCCAGAAGCGAGACAATGGCGGGATCAACGCGGGGAAAGCAAAATGACTTGGCGACTGACGGCATCGTTGACAGGGATTCTCCTACGGGCTCCTCGACACCCTGAACAAGCATTTTCAGAATACGCTTGGGATCACCCGAACGCGTTCATCCGGTCTGCAAGCCGCATATTTTGGGTGAGTATTCAACTCGAAAGTACATGGAATCGTGCTGAAATCAGCCCAGCGCCTACCCACTCGCCTCCATCGGCTATGCAGGATGGATGCTCCGACACTGGGGCTACAAGCCCGTCTTCATCTTCGGCCTGTGCACCTACGCCATCGGTGCCCTAATGATGTGGCCTAGCGGCGTATATCGCTCCTTCGGCGGCTTCTGTGCCGCTACTTTCATCTGCGGCTCCGGCCTGGGCTCCCTCGAGACCGCCGCCAACCCGTATCTCGCTGTCTGCGGGCCTCCCAAATACTCCGAGATCCGGATCAACTTCGCCCAAGCCTTCAATGGCATCGGCACCGTCGTCGCTCCTGCACTTGCATCCTATGTCTTCTTCAAGCACACCGAAGACGATGTCTCCGCCCTCAAGAACGTCCAGTGGGTCTACCTGGCCGTGGCGTGCTTCGCGTTTTTCCTAGCAGTGGCCTTCTTCCTGAGCCACATCCCCGAGGTTACAGATGCAGACATGGAGTTTCAGGTGCAGGAGACGCACATCGCCGGCACGGAGAAACCGTTCATCAAGCAGTACCGCTTGTTTCATGCCGCATTCGCGCAGTTTTGCTATGTGGGCGCACAAGTCGCGGTTGCGACATGGTTTATCAATTATGCGACTGAGTCAACGAATGTGACTGCTTCGACGGCGAGTTCACTGTTGGCGGGTGCACAGGCGGCGTTCACTGTTGGCAGGTTCTCGGGAACGGGATTGATGCGGCTTGTTCGACCGAGGCTGGTCTTCCTGTTCTATCTTGGTGGTGTGATCGTGGCCTTGGCTCTCGCAACAGGTGTCCGGGGCAGAGCTGGAATCGCGATGCTGTACATCACGCTCTTCTTCGAGTCGGTCTGCTTTCCGACGATCGTTGCGTTGGGTATTCGTGGACTCGGAAGGCACTATAAGCGAGGCTCGGGCTACATCGTCGGCGCAGTCATCGGCGGTGGCTGCGTGCCAGCGTTGCAAGGGAAGGTCGCTGACATCCACAACAGCACTCCCTTGTCAATGGTTGTGGCTTTGATGGTAAGTGATGCCCCTTGAAACCTACTCCTATCACCCCAATTTGTCTTGATCGAGACAGTCATAGGCACAGAGCAGATACTGACAATGTGCTCCAATAGTTCATGGTAGCAGCAATGTCCTACGCCCTCTGCGTGAACTTCGTGCCGCGGTACCGGATCCCTGCAGATGCTCTGGGAGATAGCTCGATTGGTCAGAAGAACAATCAGGTGCCTCAGTCAGACATTGAGGCGAAGCAGATGGACCCCAGTACTGGGAAGCTGACGGATGAAGCCACAGCGACGGAAGTGAGAAGCGATGAGATGAGAGACGATTTGAAGACAACCTCATGTAGCGACTTGGCTCGAGGGTTCCATTCAGATCGACCTGGGCGCCGAAATGAGTACTGCCACACCATGCGTACGTGACAGAGATGAACGAACACGGGCAAGAAGTAGCAATGAGAGGCATTTGCTCACCAGTCGAATTCAGCTACTAGCCTGTAAAAGTCTCGCCTGGCATAGGCCGCCTCACACTGCCCTTCTCTCCCATGATGAGCTTTCGTCCTGCACCGTCTTTCTCGCCCATACCGTCGCCGCCACGGAGCACCCCATACTTGACCTCCCTCGCCCCCGTCTCATGGACCAGCTTCTCAATTCCAGCGTTGTTGTCCGCATACTTCAGCAGAGGCGCATCGAACGCCTTAGCGATCTCCACCGGGCTTAACGACACAGGACGGCCGAGGTTCTGATATCCCAGAAACAATCCCGACACCATCAGCAGAGCGACAGCAGTCACTGCGACGCCGCCCGCCATGAAGGCATAGTCGCTTGAGAAAACAGCCTGATTTAGTTCCTGCTGAGCCATGACGTTCTGCACTGGAGTGCTCTCGTTGGCGGCTGCCATCGCAAGGCGAAAGAACAGGTCGCGACTTCCCGCGAGTATATCGTTCTTTGGATCGCTGAACGCCAGCTCGCAGCCAGTGGTGGAAACAGACCGCGTGGACTCCTGTATCAAGTATTGCAGCGCGGTGTTGCCGTGTGTAGTAAGGAAATACAAGCTCGATCCTGCGGTGAAGTAATTCGACGCGTCCGATTCGTAGTTGTTGTTTAGCGCAAGGTAGATCCCGCCGATTGTACTGGGCCCTGCGTCGACGCGCTCGCTGCGGTTGTCCGGCTTGATGACGACGTCGTCGTCGATGTTGAAGGCTGGGTCGAGAGCGATGGTGCTTGCGTTGCCGTCGATGAGGACATGAGTGCTGACCTGCGCGGGATGAAGGGTGCAATTCTGGATCTGGATTTCGCCGTTGCAGTTTTGGGTCTGTTTGTTGGCGATATTGAGGCGGATGACATTGCTGGTGTCCTCGCCATCGGACCAGAAGAAGTTGGACTCGAAGATCTGGAATTCATTTGTGATTACAGTTCCGTTGGGGAGTGAGGTGGGTTCGAGGTCGAAGGGGACGGTAGAGCTGGTGCAGTTCACGTCGAAGCCAATGGAGTCGATGACCGCGCGGCAGGTTCCTTTGCATGTGGGAGTTGGGTACGGAATGGGTGCCAGGTTGTTCCAGTCGTTGACGATATCGCTGAAGTTGCCCGAAAATCTGGCTGGCCAGCGGCCGCGGCCGGACAGGACGCCGGTGTACCCCATCGGAACCTCTGTTGCACTCTTCAACGAGAGTGGTATGGTATTGCTCGTAGGCTGGACAACAGGGCTGCTTGCTCGCTGAAGCAAAGGATTATTGAGTTGGGCAATCGTAACCATAATACAACTTAGAGCAAGATAATTCATTCGTTTGCCTGCGGTCAGAGCCTCCAGCACACTGTGGCCGTACGCCCAAGAGTGATGAAGCTCCCGCACAGTCGTACCAGCAGAAGCTTGTCGCCACCACCAGATTGTCGCGCCGGAAGAGAGGCTGTAAACGAGACAAGGATTGACCACGACCAATGCAATGGCAATGTAGATGGAAGGCTGCCAATACCAGTCATCGATTGCTTTGCCGTCCGAGTAGACGAGGACAAAGATCACAGCGACAAGACCGAGAATGACGCCGATGAGTGATAACAGAGCTTGCCACGGGAGGCGTGCAAGGATGCCCGGCTCCCATGCTTCGCAAGGCGAAGAGCCGGCTTTGTGCACTGCTTCCACCTTCTGCCCTGGGACTGCCGCATCGTTGCTTGTATCATCAAAATCTGCGTAGTGTGCTTCAGCTGCTGGTGTGGAATGCGGTGCCACTAGTCTGTTGCTCAGAAGCTCGTAGGCAGGTTCTTCGCTCCTTGACAGCGATGCCATTTACGGAAGCATCAGATGCGGTCACTCTTGGACGAAAAGGAGGACCATATTGTCGTTCTGGATGCGACTCGGCGGATACATATACCAACCTAGGGACCCTGCTGGTGTACAGGGGCTGCCACATTAGCAGCAGTTCATCTGAGGAGCTGCGCACACTATTCGTTGATCGTGCTGGTTTCCACTTCGATCACAAGGTTGCATCCCTAAAATTGGCAAGATCAAAGCTTGTTAGCACGTCCATCTTTGGTCAAAGGAACGAGCTCTAGAAGCTCTCGCATACGGAGTGGAAATCCGAGCCTACTTACTTGGGGGCCGAAAAGTGCCTCAATCGGCCCGCGGTCCCAGATTGCGAGAGCGACTTTTCCAGGAGGCCTTGTATTTGTCCCTCCAGGGCTTACAAACCCGCGTGGGGCCTCTGCCATGTGTTTCGCCTTCCCCAGGTTTGAGTCTGCTTTCGAGATTTTTCGCACTGCGCAACCTTCGACGTAGAGGAAAGTTGGGGAAGTCATAAGATGCAGGGAGCAGGAACACAAAAGTTGCATGATCGTGCCGTCATTTTGACGAGATGAGGTTCAGGTCTGGTGTTACCGAAAGCTCTGGCAGAAAACCCCAGTCGGCTCCGGTGTTGGGCTCTGGTGTTGACGGAAAACCAACATCTCGTTCGTTTCCCTTGGAACCGCTCATGTTCGGATCGAGGTACGGGGGAGCTTCAGGCTGAGAAAGCGCGTCCCTTCCAATGGTGTATCGTAGTATGGAGGAATATCGACGAAGCCAAGGCCTGCATACAACTTCAGAGCGGCAGACATGCTGGGCAAAGTGTCGAGCCTCATCTCCCGATAGCCAACATTTTGTGCGACCTCAATGATCGTCTCTGCGAGCTTTCGGCCCACGCCTGTCCCTCTGCCGTCTGGAGAGACGTAGAGACGCTTCATCTCGCAGACGTGTTCACCATGCACCGGCAAAGGTCGAAGAGCGACGCAGCCAATGGCTTGGCCGGTAGCATCTTTGGCGAGCAGCAGCTCTCCCTTTGGTGGAACGTACTTGCCCGGCATAGACGCCATTTCCGATGCGAAGTCCTGGAAGGCAAGATCGATGCCCAATGCTGTAGTATACGCGGTGAAGAGAGCAACCGCTCCTTCGAGATCCTGTGGACTGCGGACAGCCTCGACCGTACAAGAGGCGTCTGTCTTGGTTTCTGACTCTTCGTTGCTTGCCATAATGCCGGCATTCAGTTGCCAACTTCTCGCACGCAACTCCTGCGCAGTTCTTCGCTGGACTACAAATTGATCAGAGGGCGTCTACGGCAGACAACAGGGTGGACTATCATGGCGACTGATCACATCATCACAGTTCATACCACCTTGGAGGTCGCCGATGCAGCCGCCGAAATGTTTGTGAGTCATTCAGGTTTCGGCTTCGTACCTGCCATACATGTTTTCGCGTGGATGCGCGTTGATACGTTGCTGTTTAGTGCTGTCAGACCTGAGCACTCTAGCGCCAAGTCCGTGGGGTTCTTTGGCCCTTGTCAGACCCGACATCGGAGGCTCCCTTGCGCGTCCGCCCAACAACATGTGGTTTCTGTTACATGGTGGAACACGATTCAAGCTGCAGTTGCCACAAGCTTGATGTCATTGAAAAGCAATGAGGAAGCTGCAGCCCACTGAAGCCATGACTTCTGGTTACGTCCAGGCAGTGACGTGCCTTATCTACTGCCAATGAAGTCACCAATCAGTGCCCAGCATCTGCCTTATCAGGCACTTCAAACTCTATCTTTGCACCTCCCCAGCGCTTTCTTTTGGAGTGAACCTCATCTGCTCGAGCATTCCAAGCTCCTGGGGAGGTGCAGGATCCGGTGCTGCTCTGGCCAGTCGGCGAAAGTCGTGAGAAGGCAGCTTCCGTTAGTGAAGGCAGGAACCGCTTAAGCTGCAGCTCGAGTTCGTGGAGCTCTCACGATGAGATCAGATAGGTACGCTGCGTCACCGCGTGGTCATTGTCAGATGTCCGCGGGCGCTCAACACGAGAGATAGCTGAGCTTGATTCGAGTGACATGCAGCTATGAGTGAGATGCTGAAGCACACGACTTTAAAGAGAACTTCGAGCTCATCGTTGCCAATTTCTTTTGTTTTCGAACTGCTTCTACTACCTTATAGCCTCATCACTGCTCCGTCACTACCACGTTGCCCAGTGATAACACTCGGAGCTTCTTTCCGCGTCTGACCATCATTTCATTCAACAAGCATTACCTCACTCCGGGACATCTTTGTTCGCCAGCTACCATTCAGTGAGACCGCTCACGACACCTCACAATCATTCTACTAGGCCTGTCAATCATCATTGTCAGTCAAGTTGCCCAACATGACGAATCTACCCAAAGAAGTCGAGTTCCAGCAAGCTTACGATGAGTTGGCCTCCACACTCACCAACAGCACCCTCTTCGAGAAGCACCCTGAGTACAAGAAGGCTCTCGAAATCGTCGCCATCCCAGAACGTATCATCCAGTTCCGCGTAGTCTGGGAGGACGACAAAGGTGCTGTGCAGGTCAACCGTGGCTACCGTGTCCAGTACAACTCCGCACTCGGTCCCTACAAGGGCGGTCTCCGGTTTCACCCTTCTGTGAATCTGAGCATCTTGAAGTTCTTGGGCTTCGAGCAGATCTTCAAGAATGCGCTCACTGGCTTGATGATGGGTGGTGGCAAGGGAGGTGCTGATTTTGATCCGAAGGGAAAGAGCGACAATGAGATCAGACGTTTCTGTGTGGCCTTCATGGGAGAGCTGGGCAAGCACATTGGCAAGGACACGGACGTACCGCAAGTTTTGTTCGGCTCAAGGACGTGGACCCAGTACTGACGATGGCAACAGAGCTGGCGATATCGGCGTGTCTCCTCGTGAGATCGGATGGATGTTCGGTGCTTACAAGAAGAACACCAAGCTGTGGGAGGGCGTCCTTACCGGCAAAGCTCTCAGCTGGGGTGGTTCGCTCATCCGACCTGAGGCCACAGGTTACGGTACGTGCTTCCTCAAATGACAAATTAACCCGAAACGACGACGGGTGTGCTGACATATCCTAGGCACCGTCTACTACGTCGAGAACATGATGAAGTACGCCTCAGGTGGCAGTGAGACATTCGCCGGCAAGCGGGTCTCCATCTCTGGATCCGGCAACGTCGCACAGTACGCCGCACTCAAGGCCATCGAGCTTGGCGCAGTCGTCGTCTCCCTGTCCGACTCAAAGGGCGCCCTGATCGCCACTGGTGACAAGGGTATCAGTCCAGAAATGGTCGAGACCATCGCCAAGATCAAGGTCGAGCGCAAGTACCTCACCGATATTGCAAGCACAGACGGATTCTCCTCATCCACAAAGTACATCGATGGCGCCCGGCCCTGGGAGCACGTCGGCAAAGTCGACGTTGCCCTACCTTGCGCCACTCAGAACGAGGTCTCCGGACCCGAAGCCGAAGCACTCGTCAAAGCCGGCGTCAAATACGTTGCAGAAGGATCTAACATGGGTTGTACCGCTGAGGCTATCGAGATTTTTGAGAAGAACCGCCAGACCAAGACCGCCAACGAGGGCTCTGTGTGGTACGCTCCCGGAAAGGCGGCCAACGCCGGTGGTGTTGCCGTGTCAGGATTGGAGATGGCACAGAACAGTATGCGAATGAAGTGGACTACCGAGGAGGTCGATGAGAAGCTCAAGCAGATCATGAAGGAGTGCTTTGAGAACGGTCTGCAGACTGCCAAGACATTCGTCACACCCAAAGAAGGCGAGCGACCAAGCTTGGTAGCCGGGAGCAACATTGCTGGGTTCATCAAGGTTGCCAACGCCATGAAGCAGCAGGGTGATTGGTGGTGAACGTCCCAGTGAGCTCATCAGGCTGGTTCCGGCGAGGTCTCACCAAAGCTGTTTACGTGATGAAAGAGGCAAATATTCACAGACAGAGAGAAAATGGAGTCGAAGGTGCTCAGTCTCGACTTCCATCCAGTGAATGAACGATAGCATGTAGATAGACAATCAACATTGCCAAGCAAGCTCTACGAGCAACGGCAATTCCGTACGTCTGCAGTGGGACTAACACGAGGTACAACGATGTTCGCACGCATGTACCAGACGCAGTCACTTCCAAACAATATGTGGATCGCATTGGATTGCCTGAGACTGGTTAGATAGTCCTGGCTCTATCAGCGTTCTGACAGGTTGCACTGAAGCACGGGCATAACGAGGCGTCCAACTCCAGGACTTCGCAAGTAGTCGCCTCGCCACCCGCTTCTCGCTGCCTATATATGCACAACAAACCACGTATTACGATGTAACTACTGGACTTCTATAGACGGGCCTCGTGCTTCATACAATCCGCAACAGAGGAGCACTATGGCCGACCAGCTCAATGCAGGCTCACCACCTACAACCGTACTCCTACTAACCCACTCCCGCTGCGCATCCCACGTCCTCGAGAAGATGCTGTCCAAACAACCCAACACGGTCCTCACATCAGCATGGTTCCTCCCAACCCGCCAACTACGCCGTGACGTGCTCAAAGCAGGTCCCATCAACCAAGTCTCCCCAACCCTCCTATCATCCTTCATGACCGCCTTCAACTCAGAGTACTCCCACTTCCTTCAGTCTCTCAGCGACGCAAAAGCGAACGGGAAGGTTGCAATAGCTCACCCGCAGCCGCACATGATGCTCAGCCCACAGGTCACCTCCTCCTACGTCTACGACAACCTCACAACCCACGACCCACAATTTGGGCAACCTGGACGCTTCCTAGCCGGAGGAGACAGTGATGAGGAGCCACACACAAACCCATCCCTCCTCCCCGACTCGTTCTTCCTCATCCCCGGCACCATCCCCATCATCAACTTCCGCCACCCGATGCTGCTCTGCGAGGGCGTCTACCGCGGCGTGCGCGACCAACCCACCTTTCGCGAGGCGAATTCAGAGTATTTCAGGAAGCAGGTTGGGAATGGCGCGAGCCTGTACCCGGTGCGCTTGATGTATGATTGGTACGTGAAGCACGGTCCAGCCGCAGGCATTTCGCCTATCCTGGTCGAGGCGGATGACTATCTGGGCGAGGAGAAGGAGGCACTCATTGGGCAGATCTGTGCGCTGATACCGGGGTTTGATGCGCAGCATGTGATATATAAATGGGAGAAGGCCACCGCGGAGGAAGTGAGCGCGATGGGGGAGCAGCGGGCGCAGGCGCTGCAGACGATCAATGGAAGCGAGGGGGTCATGCAGGGATATGATACGCAAGGAAAGACCATAGAGAGCGAGACGAGGAGGTGGAGGGAGAAGTATGGAGATGAGGACGCGGAGTTCATCAGAGCTTTGGTGGATAAAGCCATGCCAGATTATGAGTACTTTAGGGAGAGGAGGCTGAGGCCTGATGGTGCTGCGCGACTGGGTGAGTAGATGAGCCGTTGAAAACACCAGAGGTGCATCAACTCTGCCCTGCTGATCTGACCACATCGTGCGAGGAGAACATTGGTCCCAAAATAGCACTCATGCCGTGTTTATGGGCACTGCCTGCTTTTTTATGCCGCTCAAACTAGCCTCACCGAACAGCAAGCAAGCTCCTCCCTTCACCCAACATCGTATCGCCGCCAGCGCCGGCACCACCATTCGGCAAGATCGTGAGCTCCATCCTCTCACTCCTACCCAAAAGCCCGTCGATCTGCATCGGCACAGAAGCATCATCACCACGAAACCCGCCGATAAGTCGTTGCCGAATGCCGCCGCCGTTAGCATTTCCTTCCAGTTCCATGTCCTCATCTTCGATCTCATCCTCCCCATCTTCCTCATCGAAGCCAAAGTCTCCGCGCTCAACCCGCGCACACCGATCGAGGACGTCTTGATACTGCCGTCTCAGGTCTGCCAGAGTGATGATGACCCTTCTGCGCTTCTTCGCCGGCCTGCTGTTACTCGCATCATCCTCATCTGCATCTGCAGCGGCATCATCGCTATCGCGCTTCTCCCCAATACCACCTCCGCTACCACCGCCAGCGTTTCGCTCTTTGAGGAAAGCAATCAGGCTGTCAACATCAGGCATTCCCCATCTCCCACCGCCCGCCTTCTTCTCAGCAGCCTCATCGGCCGCCTCCGTCATGCTATCCGTGACAATCCACGCCTCCTCAACGCTCACACAGCTCAGCGCATTAATCAGCGCAAGCAATGCATGTCGGATCGCCGTGGCTTGGGGGTCAGCGCGAGCTCTACTCTGCTGCAGCACCAGACGCAGCCGATCGTGTAAGGCGGCGATTGCGCCGCGGTAGTCACCTTGCGCGAGGCGCAGAGCGTGCACTATTGAGAGGTGGTCGGGCGTGTCGGTGTCGTTGGCTGGGCCTTGTAGGATCGTTGACGGTCGCAATGCTGATGCATTTGTAGTGGAAATGGTTTTTTGCTGCTTGGCAAGGGTGGTGAGCTGCACGTCTAGTCGTTCTGCCAGGTCGGGGTGTAGCGCCCATGGGAAGGATAGCAGTATGTTGACGGTCTCTTTAGTGGAGAGGCCATTGGTTTGGGTGTCCAGGATGCTTTGTATCAGGTGAGTTGCTGACTGCGCAGCTGACCGGGGGTCGTTGAGTTGTGTGACTGTGTCGAATGCGGCGCGGAAGCGGAGCAGGCTGATGTTGGACTTGAGGAGGCTCTTGAGGACATCGAACTTCAGTTCTGGCGAAGTCTCACGCTGATCGGTAGTGAGTGCTTGCAGTGTCGCTTTGCCAAAGTGCACAACCTGCGCATGGGCGGAAGCCTGCTCGAAGAGAGTCATCACATGACGCAGATATCTCGGTAGTCCGTTGTAAAAATCGTCCGACTCAACCTCATCGATGAACCCCAGAGACAAATCGACGAGACTGTGCGTAGCCCTGCCATGGGCGAGACCAAACGCCGCTTGATGGAAGTACTGCTCTGCACGATCAACCTCGTGTCGTAGGAGAGCCAGTCGGCCTCGCATGTAGGCAGCAAATGGCTTGGCAGGCAGGAACTGTGCGAATTGTGCCGCAAGGTCAGGACTTGGACACCATCGCAAGAAGCACAGAAGAGGCCGATAGTGGATGTGATGAAGTCTGCATTTGCAACATGCTCGAGAACATCAACTGCGGTGGCTTCGAGAGGTGCGGATATGTCGTTCTCTCCCATCTGCCTGTCGTTTCTGTAAAGGAACTGCTTGAGGGACTCACGCGCACCAGTCGATCGATCTTGTGGTGAGGATCCATCGGAGACTCCGTTGAAATGTCGCAGCACCCAGGCATCGCGCTCGGTAGTTCTGAGCATGGGTGCGACCCTATTGAAAAGCTCGGCCGCGTCGAAGTTAGGCATCTTTGCGCCTTCATCCTGGTTGAACTCGCCTTCCACAAAGACGATCACAGCGATCAAGCTGGAAAGAACTTCTCGGATTGATAGTAAGCTGTTGAGAAGGTCCTGATCCTGTAAATAACCACCCAGATGTTCTTTGATGGATGTCGTGAGACTACCATCCTGACCAGATATTTGCGGCAGCAAGCCCAGAGCTGCAAGTATCAGATCATTGCTAAGTGCTTCGATGCCGCCAAGTGGTCTGAAGCTGTTCTCTAGTCTGTGAAACGCATCGTCTGAGACCAATTCGCCAAAAGCCAGATCATCGTACATATCTGACAGCACGGACGGTATTACTTGATCGCCGTTAAGGAATAGGAGATCTGTGATTGTAGCCTCGAGACCTTCCGTAAGATCAGGTGGGAAATCGTGGGCAAACCTCCTCGCCGATTGCAACAGCTGAGCGAGTAGTCCCAGCGAGACGCCACTCTCCTCAGTTGAGACTTGCCGATGAGGCCACCGGCTTGAGGCGATTGACTCCAGATCCGAGAGTTCGTCGGTGCTGTTGTGCAAGGCGAGACCGAACCTGTCCAGTTCCTGCAACAATACCACCTTGTCCGCCATGATCAGCACGGGACGAGCGACTTGACCATCATGTGCGAGTGAGAGCGGTCCGAAGCGGGTATCGTTGACCTTCTCTACTGTCCGGTGAAACGTTCGCCAAGATTGGTCAACCTCGTACGAAAAAGCGTCGAAGTTCATGCTGCCTCCTTCTTGCTTCTTCAGGCGTGCTGCTGGCGCGATAGCATCACATATCCGGCGGCACAAGTCAGAGTCTGAAGTTTGATTTGAGCGAGTACTTGTGCTACGCGAGAAGATATTCAAAGCAGTCTCGAGGACTGCATCGGGATATCTTCCGGGTGCCGTCAAGTACTTGAGCACAGTGTTGTGGCATCTTCCACACCAGAGCTAGTGATATTGGGAGTCGGCTCAACGCTCGTGCGCGAAGTTGACGTCACCCAGTTGTGCTCAGGCCACGATCGACCAATGTCGTCGAGGTCGAAGTGCAGTGAATAGACGGTGTAGTGGTCGTTATTGCGCCAGAGGATCCAAAGCTGTGCCGACCCACGAGCATCGAGTTCGCCGTACGGGACGACGCGGAAACTGACCATGGACCATACCGTTGTGCCAGTTGGATCTGGGTCTGGAGGGGTGAGCTTGACACCTGGATAGCGGTCGGAGACTGTCAGTGTGTCTGTCAGACCGCCTCGCACATCCCAGAACTTGAATTGACCTCCATCGCGTGGCGAAAAGGTGACGAGGATTGATCCACGCATTTCAACGCCTTGTAGATGCTGTAGGTGTCCGCGATCAAACGCACTGAGCGTTCGTGCATGCTCGTCGCCTTCATGGTCGAGTAAGTCCTTGGCAACTACCAACTTTCCGCTCGGAACATGCCATACACGCAGTTGGTGGTTCAAACAGACTGTGTAGAGATAGGTGCTGTCTGCAGATGCTTGAATGGCCTGGGCTGTGCGGCTGTCGACATATGTTGACCCGTATTCCAGCTTCCGAGAACCACCACGACCAAGCAGGCTGCTGAATGATGATCCCCATGTGGCATCGTCGTACACCAGACCGTCCCATTTATGACTTCCGCTCTTGCGCGTGAGGTGCTGTATGCTGCCACTGGTGAAGCAGAGGAATATTTCGGTCGCTGAATGGACTTGCAGTCGGAAGACGGTATTGATCTGTAACGAAGTGATGTTGATTTGTCTGTGCCATTGACTGATCCTGTTGCGCCGTTCCGCCTCGCTGGGTTGCTCTTGAGCGCTGAACGCGGCAGCCGGGATGGTAAGATGATGTAGCTCGTTCTTGTTTGTGCAGATGAATACCTCGAGTCCATCTTCGTCCGTCAGATCTGCGAATCCGACTGTGTGATCACGGATCGGGTCGGGGAACTCGAAGAACAATGGTCGCGTCGACCGTCCTGCCGGCTGTTCTGTATTGGTGAGAGAGGCTGGCTCAAGTTGGAGGATGCGGTCGTCGGCTGTCACCCGCCATAGGTAGCTTGTGCTGCCATGGCCTTTCTCGCTCTTGAAATGTGCGCCGCCCGCAGACGCTAGATGTGACCGGGAGAACTCTTCGATCGTTCGAGCTTGCGGCCCTTGCTTCAGCACCGATGCTACAGCTTGCGACCCATCCCTGCTGGGGATTCGGTAGACAACACTGGTGGACGTGGTACTGGCCAACGAAGATGCTGTAGAGTCCGGAACCTCGACCTCACCGTATAGGGTCAGCATGTTGTGGGCGCAGTGTCATATCTCACCGATATCATCTGTTTCCGACATCTGCTCTGCGCCGTAGAGAGAAATGTTCGAGAAAGCCAGCAAGTGGTCTGCGATGTGAAATTCGAGAACTCAGCCTTGTTTCAATCGCGTCAACCGCGACGAGGCTCTGCAAGTCAACGGTGCCAAGGCCCGACTTGAATCACTTGTTCACGTGGAGAACAGTGAAATGACCCAAGATGCCTATGTGACACCTCTTCACGACATCGGGACTACCACTAGCAATGAGGAAACAACATATGGCTGCCTGCGTAGAGGACACGCCGCTGACAAGCGTATGCTGAGCGAAAGCATCTCGAAGTGACTGTTACCAATTTCGCTGGTCTCTGCTAGGCAGTCTCACATCGATACTAATATCCAGCCACCGACACGAGGATCAAGAGCCCCCGAACATCCCCTTCTTACGTTTGAAAGCTCACCTCACTCCTATCCTCGATTGACACTCTCCTCCCTGCTCAGCATGCGACTTCCCTACTCCAGAGAGATCGACCAAGCCTTCGACCAAGTAACACCTCTAGTCGCCGTCGCCTACGATGCCTCGAGAGCACGAAGAACATCTCTATCCTGCTCGCCATCGTTCAAGTCCTTACAGTCCTCCTTCTGACTCTTCTGCTCCATGTCGGCCTCGGCATTCTAATATCCATTAACCCACAGTTCGAGCACGAACACGACGTTCTGGTCACGCCAACAGTGAGAACACTCGGCGGGTAAAGAACACTCGGCGGGTGGGTGATCAGACTGGTTAGAGGGATGACATTTCTGATGGGGTGCGTGTACGGGTTGTTGGGAGGTGGGCCTTTATCTGGCAGTGAATCAGCTCGCCAGGAAGCCTCGCGGACCTCGTAGGCGCTGGTATGTTCGCCAGAGGACTACTCAAGACTGTCGCAAAAGGGGACAGAAGCGAGCCAGAAGAATGAATCATTCCGTCGGGAAGGAGGCTGCCGCTGGCGGTGAAATAGCTTTGGGGGTAAAAGGACGAGTTTGCTTGCTGTTCGATAGCATGAGCATCGTCCTGTCATTTCTTAGTCGTAGCATTCATGCTCTTCTGCATCTGCGTTGTCCTTGCTGTTCTTCCCGCTGCCTTGCCTATCTTGGTTGCGTTACGCATGGACTGCCTCAAAACTACGCCAGGGCAATGCCAAGAAGGCTTAAACTAGACTAAAGTGGCTATGGGTGTGACCGTCTCTGGGTGTGATTTTTGCAAGTAGTTCTGGCGATGGTATGGGGTGATTGACACAGTCCGGCGGAAGGGCGGCGTGTCCCATGGTTGCGATTGGCGGCTAGGAGATTATATGGCTAAGACTGGGTATACAATGTCATGTGGTATACGGGATGTCTGTGGGCTCGGTGATAGAATGTCCGTGGTGCATGTCACAAAGACACAGCCAAATTTCTGTCGTGTGTCTGGTGGAATAGTTTAGCCTCTAGATCCTGTGTCATCCGGTCTGCCGAGACCCTCGCATATATTTGTACTTCACATCCTTCGCACTCAACGTCCTATTCAGCCAATGAAGCCAGAACTCCATGTCGCCTACATCCAATGCATCTTGTCCGCCAGTTGTCTATGGTCTTTCAGTCACACTACTAACACAGTGCGCCCACTGGCACTCTGCATTAGACATCATTGCCATCAAGCACTTCTGCTGCCAGAAATACTACGCGTGCATCAGCTGCCACGACGCAGGTGAAGCTCACGAGTCGGCTGTCTGGCCCAAGAGTCGATGGAACGAAGATGCGGTGCTTTGTGGCGCTTGCAAGCACGTCCTCAGTGTTGAGGAATACATGACCAGCGAAAATTGCTGTACTCAGTGTGGGAGAGGTTTCAATCCTGGGTGTAAGAATCACTGGGATCTGTACTTTGAGATGGATGAAATGGACAAGACTTCCTGTGGCAGAATACAGAGCTAGAGCTAATGCCACGCCTCGCCCAGGGTGCTTCATCAACAGCATTATCGCGAGCAGCCTAGTCTGTCCAAGAAATGCAGTGGTCCATCAGTGAGGCGAGGAGCCAAGCCTCGGAGGCCGCCGAAGTCTGAGCAAAAGAACATGACGTTCTTCATCAGCTATCACAACGTTGCAATCATTTTGTGCGCTAGGGTCTTGAAGCATTCTATCATGGAGCTTCGTTCGAGCTTCATGACCACAGAGCCGTGGTTGGGTGGCCGAGAAATGAGCGTTCATGAACAGTTTTTGCCGCAATCGCTCCTTCCTCCAAGGTTACTGGCCGGGAGCCAAGATTTGATCGCCGTCGCTGTTCCCCACACTACAGAGCTGCTACTTCGGCAAACCCGATCGATCAGGAAGGAGCAATTGCTCGCGTGCTCAACTACTGCAGCTGGACGGAGGCTCTCACAACTCAAGCCACAGCTCTCGAGATGTTGATAAAGACTGGCAGGGCCGCCACGAGCCTTCAGTCTTCGTCCCCTCCCAACACTGCCAACGCCTCGCCATTCACCATATCGCCACCATGCACTGCCACCACATGATCCCAGCATTGCTGCTCTCGACAGCACCAGCAGCTCACGCCTGGGGCGTCCTCGGCCACTCAACCGTAGCCTACGTCGCACAACACTACGTCACCCCATCAACCGCCAACTTCGTCCAAGCCATCCTCGGCACCGCGCCGGACTACATGGCCAACGTCTCGTCCTGGCCCGACACCTATCGCCGTACTCCTGAGGGCGAGTGGAGCACACAACTACACTGGATCGATGCCAACGACGCGCCCCCGGAGTCGTGCGAGGTCGAATACACCCGCGACTGCCGCCCGAGGGCTGCGTCGTGTCTGCGATCGTCAACAATACGCAGATTCTGATCGACAGCAAATCAACGGAGGCACAACTGTTGGACGCTATTAGGTTTCTGATTCATTTCGCGGGCGATATCCACCAGCCGTTGCACACCGAGGCTTTGGAGGAGGGTGGCAACGGGATTAATATCACGTGGGATGGTAAGACAGCGAACCTTCATGCGATCTGGGATACCCAGATCCCGGTCAAGGCGGCAGCTGGGAAGAATGCGAGTGAGTGGGCGGAGGAAATGGTTGGGCTGATTGAGAACGGCAAGTATAATGCCAGTGGCTGGCTAGACGCGACGAGTCTGGATGATATCAAAGGTACCGCGATGAGCTGGGCCAACGATGCTAATGATTACGTCTGTACCGATGTGTTGCCTGATGGGAGAGAGGCGATCGAGGCTGAAGGTGTCGACTTGGCTGGCGCGTATTTTGAGAAGCATGGCGAAGTCACCAAGGAGTTGATCGCGAGGGCTGGGTATCGGTTGGGGAGCTTTCTCAACTTGATTGTTGATGGACCAGCGAACGGGCATTGGTCAGACAACTAAGTCAAATATCCGAATGAAGAATAGAGCAGTGACATTTGGCCCCTTCGAGTTCAGCAAACGATGAATTGGTGTGGATGTCGGACACCAGTCGAACACCAGTCCAGCTAAGTCAGATCCTTGCACACCAGTCGGCGATGCTCTACTGCGTGTGAAATTGCCTCATTCTAACAAATCGAATCGGACATGACGCACCTGCGCCAGGACCTCACGCAACATACCGTGATCGCAATGTCTCGAACTTCGCTCCACCTGAGTGGGCTGCAGTGGATATGCATGAGGCGTCGACTCTACCTGGTCATGTCGAGACTGCTTCGCAAACCGCAGGCTGCGCGATCCTGCCATCCGTACGCGTAAGAAGCGCGTGACTTGCGGCAGAGCCGCTGAGGGCTTGCGTGCTTGCCTTACCGGTGGTCGTATGGTATTCGAGGAGGTCTCCAGTCACTGCAGATTGCTGCCCTCAAGCACGCGATGCGATGGTTCGGTAAAGCAGGGTTTGGCTCAGTCAATGGCGGTATCCGAGATGTAGCCGACTCGTACATGCCGGCCAACACTGATACAAACCAGGCAGATCATGTAACAATCCTGACCGACCCAGCGCCCCTCTGCAACCCATCAAACGCCACCTGCTGCTTCTGCTGCGCCCTCCCCATAAAATATTCATCCTTCTTATGCGGCCCGTTCAACGCCTCATCATCCCTCCTCCCCAACAGCGCCTGCATCAGGTACTCGCCCTGCACGTACTGATCGCACGCCGGCTCGTACCGCAGCTGATTCAGCGCTGCCCTCAACGGGAACCTCAATCGACCACGTATGACGGCTCCCTTGCCGTCCTTGATCGTATCCTCCATCTCGTCGATCAGATCCTTGGCCATCTGCGTGCCGCTGTGAAGCAGCTCGAGGGTCAGAGAGTCGCAGTCGTCGCGGAGGAGGTAGACGTTGCTGCCCACGTCGGAGAGGTTGGTGATCGTGACGGGACTACCTACCAGATTGCGCGCTTTGCTGATTGCTTCGTGCGCGGCGGCCACGAGATGGAGTTGGATGCCTGCAGCGGTGAGTCGCAGCATGCGTCGGTTGATATCCTGGATTTCGATGGCGTCCCAGGGGTCGGAGCCGGGGTTGGGGCCTAGATTTTTGAGGTATTCGACTGGGTCGACGAGGAGTTCGAGCTTGAGGTATTCGATTTCGGAGATGGAGGTTTTGCAGTCCTGGACGAGCATGTCGATGGTTTCGACGCTAGAAAGCCAGTTGGTGGGGTCGTCGATGCGTTCGAGGATGTCGGCCAGGCGGAAGCCGTAGTCCATGACGCGTTGCTCGATGCTCTTGCGGACGTTGGTCCAGGGGTCGTGTAGCCAGTCGGGGCTGGCAAAGCCGTAGGATTTGCGGGTTATGATGCAGTGTTGTGTCTGGTGGGGGAAAACGTTTACTGGATTGCTTTGGGGGGCGAAAGGACGGTTCAGACTTACTAGATTATATCGACAGTGCTCGAGTGTCGACCGGGCGAGCAAACTCCGGTGTCTCAACGCGCCTCGTGCTTGCAACAGTGTTGCTATTCCGGACAGATGGCTTAGCCATGCTTCTGGATCTCTGCCGTCGGGATCGGTGAGCTGTTCGCGATCAGTAAAGACTGTCTAGTCCAGGTGGGTCCAGCCCGAATACCTCATACAACGCCATCACACAACTCCCTGCCAGCGTCTCATCCGTCATGGCAAACTCATCAGATCCCAAGTTCCTCTGCAGCGCTCCCAACCCTACTGTGTACTGCTGCGCCGCCTTCTTCATAAGTGCTTTATCCCGATACCTGACACCGAACATTCGCGCACTAAGAGCGAACACCGCCGGATCCAGTGCACTGTCAGTCGAGGCCTCCGCCATGAGTGTCTTCAGCCACCCTATCACCGGCATATGGTTGTACCGGTTCTTGGCGTCGTTCGTGCGACCGTAGGTATTGTACGCCCAGCTCACCAGCTGAGTCTTTTCGAGCTCCATGCTATGCAGCTCGCTTACAAGTCGGGGCCCGCCACCAAAGAAGTCGACCTCAAAGTTGGGTATCTGCTCGCGCGTTGGACCGATAAGCGAGTCGGGATCTGGTGACATATTCCTGGATGATGGGTTTGTTGTGGATGTGAACTCCGCGGGCTTGATCTCCTCCAGCGGTTTCCGTTTCTCGACTCCATTGACGGTGTGGACGATCTGTTGACTGTAAGCGACGGTGCGAAGTACTAGACGCGGGCTCATGCCATACAAACACGGGGAACCTTGAGTAGCCCTCGCAGACTCGCTTTGACTTGTGGCACTGTGAACACGTGGGCCGCCCCTGATCGCACTATAGTACGGCGCGTTAGCATGAGGTTGTGAAGGAGGACTGGGCATGCGTACCCGTATCTTCCTCCGTCGGCACGTCGCGCACCCTTTCGACTTGCCCGCGACCCCAACCATTAGGTCGTGTTATACGAGATCTCGTAGCGATAGTTCAACGCGATGGAAGCTCGCGGTGTTGTAATCTGCTGAGCTGTACCATAGTCTGTGGTCAACGACACCCACAAGACGGAGACAGTAGAGCGATATATGACCTCTGCTGATCCCTGTTGCCTCGTGCTGCTCTATTAACGTTCAATGAGCCAAGACTGCGCGGTCAACTGGTTCCTCTGCCCTCAGGGCCTCAGGCTTCTGGAAGTGATGGACCCATGCGGCTCGACAGATCGTATCGTGGATATGCGGAGCCAGAAGCAGAAAATCAGCCGGCTGGCACTTGCAATTTACCTTACCTTAACGGCAGTGTCCCACCTGCACAGAACACGGCGCCGGCCCCCCTCCGTTGAATCATGAAGCGTCGCCAAGGTGGCTGAGTCTTGGCTGAGTTGGTATACGGTACGAACGATGCCGTGCCGCGGCTTGGGAGCGCAAAAAGGCCTAGTTTCGGCTAGCCTCAGGCGTCCTGCGCCTATAACGTCGAAGCGGCTCGACAACGACACTGGGAAACGCCCATACAACAGCACTTATCCCGGCCGCAAGAGTAGGGCTTTGGATGCGATGATTCGTGCTTGGAAGTCTATATACAGCTTCTCGATAGGCGAAGGCATTACTTAAGCATTAAACGTCGCCTCAAAATGGAGCAGACTGAAACGCGAGATCAGTTGGTGCTTAGGTAAGGTCCCGAAGCCACTAAATACTCACGAACAGCCCCTCCTCGTGCGGAGGTCGTCTTCGTATGTGCTCGCCTGCCCGCTAGTTATCAATATATGAAGAACGCGAGCAGCCATCTCACGGCCCGGGAAGTTGACTCAAATCGAATTGCTTCAGCCAGGAGGGTTGCCTGGGTGGCACTTGCCGGTCTTTAAGGCAAAAGTGGGCGTTCGGTGGCCATCGCCTGCACTTGACCTGTTTAAGGAGCTGATGCTCACGGAAGGGGTAGGTGCTACAGGCCATGGATTTCATCGATTGCCATACTCGGAACCTGCACTGAATTGGATGCGAGGACTATATCATACGAGAAGCGAGGAGACATAACCTTTAAGAACTCGGACAGAGGCGCGTTCCGTCATTGGGTAAGCCTTGACAAATACAGATACGCGAGGTCAAGAGGCATGGGTATGACGTGAAGTATAGCACAACGCAGATCGAGCACTTCAAATTGGTTGCGTCCATCATCCGCCATACGTGCCATACTCGATAATTGGACTGGACGGGCGGACTTAGTCATACGAGAACCGACAAGACGTCGCGCCTTAAGAAAGAACCTCATGGAGCAAGACTTGACAAATACAGATGCGAGAAGCGGAGATTCATAGGTGAGATGTAAGGAGTGACTGCAGATCGGACGTAAAACTTGCCGGATCAAGTATTATCGACGAGAAGCGAGAAGGCCCATGACTGTCAACAGTTGGAACGATGGCCTGGCTTAATTGGGGCGACCTGACAACGGACATAGATCGAGCAAAAGGCATGGGTAGGTAGATATGCAGGTACTGTCTGTCAGCTACCATGTAGCACTTACGCAAGCAGATTCGAGCAACAACCCTGGTCAGGGGCTTGTCCTTTTGCCATGTCACGAACGTCTCAAGGCGTCCCTATGTCCTGTTCCAGCAGACCCTCAGCTTTTGAGCTGGCCTTCACTAGGACCTTAGCCTGACAGGGTTGTGAGGCAGTCCAGAGTAAAGCGTCCCACGTAGGCAAACCGGCGGACAGAACAGCAAGGACAGCGAAGGTGCACCTGAGCATAAATGCTACGACTAAGAATTGACACGACAGCGCTCATGCTACCGGACAGCAAGCAAGGTCCGTCCCTTGTCTAACGCTGTCTCGCCACCAGCGCTCTGGCCCCCTCCTCATCTACATTACCGCATTGACTTCCGGCCACCGCGCATGGACTTTGCTCTTTCTCATCATCGCCGTTTGGCCTCTTCCGCTTCGAGCGCGTGGTAAGTTCTCGATTTTGGCGAACGATTGGAACTATCGTCCCTAGCCTGTCTCAAGGAGCCTCATTGCGGCTGGCTATGCTCTCGGGCTTCGCTCCCCGCTATTGATGGCCCCGAACGCAGCCTCTCGACGCTTCAGGGCGTATGTTTGTAGGCGCAAGCAGAGCTTCCGAGTTCGTTACGGGAGAAGACCACAGGCATGTGGAGCGGAGGGCAATCTTCTTCTATCGTTTGCTCTATCTACCTACACATCCTCAGCATGAGTAATCACACTATCATCATGCGTCCTAAACTTCTCCGACATTGCGACCTCCGCAGCATCCTTATCTTGCAACGCATGGGGCACGATCTGATCTCCGAACAACTGGTCCATTTGTTCTAGCGTCTTCCCTTTTGTCTCTGGGAAGAAGACAATGTAGCAGACGGCTGCAATCAGATTCCAGGCGAAGAAGAAGTAGAAGAACTTGAAGCCCATGTCAGCCAAAGCGATAGGCGCGCATTGGGCGAAGATCAGATTTAGTGACCAGTTCGTAAAGGTGGACAGAGAGTTGCCTCGAGCACGAATTTCCGCCGGAAAGATCTAGCAAAACAATGTTAGTTCGTTATGGCGAGAGAGTGGCAGATACGTGTACTTACTTCTGCAGGATAGACCCACGAGATGATCCCTATCATTGTGAAGAACAAGCTGAAGACGAAGTTCATCGCAACCATGGCACGTAGGGCATTGTTGTTAGGGTCTGGGTTGTCACTGACGACATAATACTTGGACAGGATCGAGTTAACTAGTAGTGCCAGCGCCAATCCGATGGCAGACACGACGAGAGGCTTGATGCGACCGATCTTGTCAAGCAGGTAGAGACCTATGACGCAATAGACGATGGAGAGAGAACCAGAAATGCCGATGATCTTGAGGGAAGTGCCGGTATCGATGCCCAGGAGTGCGTAGATTTGTGGGCCGTAGTAGTTTCTACAGATTCGTTAGCTTGCATTGCTCGCGTTTCCAGCTGGAAGGGACTTACATCACATTGATTCCAGAAAGTTGACCAAATGCTTGAATACCCATCCCCAGGAACAAGCGCTTTCTCCAGCTCTGACGTGATACCATTTCTTTCCAGCTCTTGACAGCAACCGCTTTCTCGGCAACGATGGTATCGCGGATCTCGCGGAACTCGAGGTCAAGGAATTCTTGGTTGGACCCGGTGCCGTGTAGTGATGCAAGCACACTCCGAGCTTCTTCCAGGCGATCCTGCTCGACGAGCCAGCGTGGGCTCTCCTTCAAGAACCAGATCCCCACTGCCATAATGAGCCCGGGCACGACTTGGAAGGACAGCGGGAAACGCCATTGAAATGGGCTGTCGACCTGGAAGCATCCATAGCCCAGCCACTGGGCGATGAAGAAGCCCCATGACAGCATGAATTGCAGGAGACCAGACAGCTTGCCGCGATCCTCCGAGACGGCGATCTCGGAGCAGTACATGGGGACGATCGCGGATAGTAGACCAACCGCCACACCGGCTATGAAGCGCCCAGCGATGATCATGGGAATATTGACAGCGCCGCCCTGGAGGGCACACCCGAAGCAGGAGATGACTGCACCGACGAAGACACTTTTCTTGCGGCCGAGCTTGTCGGCCAGATACGACACCGACAACGCACCCAGAATGGCTCCACCTGTGAAAGACGAAACGATGCCACCTCGTTCGGACTCGGATGGTTCTCCCATGTATTCGACAAAGTATGGCTGGGCAATAGTGCTGGCGATGATGCCGGAGTCATAGCCGAACAGCAAGCCACCGATGGCGAGGAAGACTGCGGAGCCCGCAGTCCGAAGACGACCCATGACGGACAGTTGATGGATTGTCAAGGAAGGCGCAGGTTCAAGGTGAGTGACGCAGGTGCCATTCAGCAGGCATGGAAGTGATGTAGGAGGAGTTGTGCATATCTATATGCGGCCTCGCAGCTCCGCATGTTTTCCGCATTCGTTCCCCGGACTATCTTCGAGCGAGGCCAGCACTTTTCGAGGCGACTAAGGCTCTCGCCGAGCAGAAGGTGGGGAACAATATTTGAATCAGACACGAAGATCGCACGGGGTCGTCGACGTCTAGACTAAAGTTGCGCCGTGCTTGGCAAGCGAATCAGGTATTTGCCGAGGTGATATGCGTATCGGCAATTGTTCGCTCATCATTGACCTGGTCAGCTTCGCTGTATCTACCACCGAGCGGCTGTACTCCGTACTGCGTAATGAAGCCCAAGTGGTCGGTCCTGTCCATACAAGCATGGCGTCTGAGCATATCCACAGGCGGATAGACCAGCCGCCTCAGGCAATTGGCAATGCACCGAAGTCATGGACACGAAGGGGACTCTGTCCGCCACGCACATATCCTGCCGGCTCGAGAAACCCAGGAAGTTCCTGAGAACAGCGCCTGAGAGTCTGAAGAGCATCACCGCAACTCTCAACAATGGTCGAAGTCCCCGAAGACCAGAAAATCGAATACGTTCCACCAACGAAATACAACCATGAGTTCGCCGCCATCGCTCAGGACTTACTACCAGATCTGTCACGCGCGACTCACTCACCGAAACGTCTGGTACGATTCGAGAAGGACCAATCATCATTCTTCGGCATCACCCCCAAGCCTCGGGCGGCATCGGGCAGCTCAGAGACCTGACCTGGGGCAGAGGCGACGAGTTCGTGCTCGACTTTGGCCTGCACCTCGTGGGCCATGTCGCCTTCCATCTCGATGCCGAGGGCCTCAACATCGATGCGCCATGCCGTTTGCACCTCACATTTGGAGAGTCTCCATTCGACGTCACCGAGCGGATGGACGATATAGAGACCTGGATCAGCACTAGCTGGCTCCCCGACGAGACCATAAACATCGATTTCATGCCAGAGGACGTCACAATACCACGCCGCCAGTCTTTCCGGTACCTACGAGTGCAAATCATCGACACATCACCAAAGTACAAAGTCGCATTCTCCAACTTCATCGTTACATCCGTCAGCGCGGTGCCCTCCGATTCACAGCTCGAGCTATACAGCTTTGGAGAGAACGACACCCTCCTCGAGACCATCGACGAGATATCAGTTCTGACATTGCGTGACTGCATGCAGACCGTCTTCGAGGACGGCCCGAGACGCGATCGACGCATGTGGATCGGAGACCTGCGGCTACAAGCCCTAACAAGCTATCATACCATCAAGGACTTCAACCTCGCCAAACGTTGTCTATTTATGTTTGCAGCACTGCCCCGCGAAGATGGCTCCTTACCAGCATGTCTGTTCGAAAAGCCGAAACTGACACCAGCAACGGATTACATCGTGGACTACGATGCACTCTTCGGCGTCATCGTGCACGACTATGTCGAACCTCAGGCGACATCGCCACCGGCAAAACCTTATGGCCAACCATCCAGGGCTCCCTGTCCGGCGCACTCGCCCACCTGGACCCCACCACTCATGTCTTCGACACCTCCCGAAGCAAATCCTGGAAATTTCTCGATTGGGCAGACAACCTCGACAAATCCGCCGGCATGCACGGCTTACTGCTCTATTGCCTCAAGCACGTCAACCAACTAGCCCGCCTTCTCTCCATCGATCCCTTGCCATACATCGACACCATCAACCTCATGACCACCGCCGCCGCCAAAACCTTCCTCGACCCATCCACCAACACCATAACCTCCGGCCCCAACGCCCAAATCTCTCTCGCGTCCGCAGCCTGGCTCACCCTCGCCGGCGCCCTGCCCCCGCAAACCTGCCGCCAGGCCCTCCTCTCCGCCCTCCACCACCCCGACACCATCCACCCACTAACCCCATACCTCTACCATCACCTCATCGACGCGCTCGCCACCGTCCATCTCTACGACGAAGCAATCTCCATACTCAAACGCTACTGGGGCGGCATGGTCATTGCTGGCGCAGACACGTTCTGGGAGTGTTTTGATGAGAAGGATCCGCGGCGGAGTCCGTATGGGGATGTGAGGAATAACAGTTTCTGTCATGCTTGGAGTTGTAGTGCTAGTTGGCTGTTGAGGGTAAGATTGAGGGAGTATTTAGGGGCGAGGGTCAAGGGGGTTGTGACCGTTGGGGAGTTGGAGCGGAGGCATGTAAGGAGGACTTGTGGACTGTGAGGGTGAGTCTGAGTGTCGCTGTCAATGACTCGAGTCATGGAAGCGTGAATTGTTGGTGTCGGTAAGTCGAGGCATGTTGGAAGATAGCACATGACTAGCCTCCGAAAAAAGGCTTGCTCGATGTGAGACCATACAAAACTGGCTGTGAGCCTCACTTAGACGCGCTGCAGGCCACGCATCGGATATTCTACCCATTATGTAATATTATACACCCAGCCCTAGTCGAATGACCTCTAGCCGTCAACTGAATAGCTGGAACCCTTTCGCCGAACGGTGCCAGCCGCCCCACGCCATCGCCGGAACTCCTTGCAAAAGCCACGCCCAGACACTTTAGTCTAGATCAAGCCTTCCCATTAATACAGTGACGGGGCTCCCGGGCAGAAAATGTCCCTGAAATACTTGTGGGAACATTCCTTAGTCGCTGAAGCTACCACAGTCGTCGCTGGCTCAGTAGTTGTTGGCTCAGTGGTTCCTGGCTCAGTGGTTCCTGGCTCAGTGGTTGCTGGCTGAGTGGTTGCTGGCTCAGTAGTTGCTGGCTCAGTGGTTGCTGGCTCAGTCGTTGCTGGCTCAGTCGTTGCTGGCTCAGTGGTTGCTGGCTTAGTGGTTGCTGGCTCAGACGTTAAAGATTGGATTGTTGAGGACTCGGCTGTTGGAGACTCTGACGTTGAAGTTTCGGATGTTGAAGTTCCAAGCGTTGAAAATTCGGTCGTTGAAGACTGGGTCGTTGAAGACTGCGTCATTGAAGACTCCGAAGATGGCGTCACGACATCATCGCCTCTTATCTGTAACCACGAGGCCGTTGCCCACGAGGCCGCGTCCCACGAGTGAATCTCGGCAGTTGATGAACGAATCGATCTGGATGGTGGCTCCACAACGATACGCGTGAGACTATGCTCGGGTCCGGAAGTCTTTGCCACCCCCTTCGGGTTGTTCCCGAACGTTGTGGGCGGCATTTTCGGCATGCAGTTACATGTCGATTTAGTCGACGAGGTCGTGGAGGTGGTAGTTGAGGACGCAGTCAAGGAGGTGGTTGACGACCTAGTGGAAGACGTAGTCTGCGTTGCACTGGAAGATGTGGTGGAGGAGGTACTTGACGATGTGGTGGAGGAGGTGCTCGACGATGTGGTGGAGGAGGTACTCGACGATGTACTGGACGAGGTTGTCGTCGGAAGCCGGATCGGAGTGCGTGCGCTTTCAGGCGTCGTGGTTGTGGAAGACGTCGTCGTGATGATAATCACCGCAGTGCTCGAGCCCGTAGTCGTCGTGATCAGCTTAGGCGTGGGCGGGTCTTGCACGAGCGTTTCCGTTATACTCGGGTCAAGGTCGCACCCAAATCCTGAATACACTCCCGTTGTATACTTCTTACAGTACGTCTGTATGCCGTCTGTGCTGCGCAACATATTGTCAGCTATGGATTCGTAGACTCGGAATTCAAATCTCGCACTCACCAATGGCGGATGTACTTGTCGGTCAGGCACGCTCCTTTGCAATCACCCATGTTGTCAGGGTCTACACAGCTGGTATGAACGTTGCAGCCTATCAAGCCACCATCGCTTCGCAGTGTGTCGCAGCAAGCGAGGACCGAGTATTCGTCTTGGTGGCCGCAATAGGCGCTTGAGCATACAACTGATGAAAAATAACCTGAATACCATACGATTGATGAATTACCTCCTGTGAAGTCGGTCAGCCAGTGTTTACATTGGAGGTCATGAGACTGGGCACACCTGATCTGCCGGTCACATAGCCACAGACTGGTCCAAGGTAGTCCCCTGTCTGGAACAGAGCCAGGTCCACCTCAGGCGCTGCAGTGGTTTCCGGCGTCGCTTGTGCGGCAGCGACAGCGCTGGTGGCTGTTTGGGCGGGAAGCGTAAGCGCGCCGGCTGTGGCAGCACTCACCAGAGCCGTGGCGACTGGTAGGCGCACCATCTTGTTCTGGGCTCAAAATCTCTGCGATGCGCGCCCAGGGCTTCACTTGTTGTTGTCGAGCCCCGATATTCGTGAGGAGGAGTGTACGAAGATGTCTGATAAGCCTCCGGCACACCTCGAGGTGGTCAGATCAGCAGGAGATCAGTCGCTCTTTTGCGACAACTTACTGCTACCAAGCAGCAGGAAGAGATCGCGGAGGAGAATTCATTGCGACAACTGGCCTGCCATAATTTAGAAGAAGAATACGCCAGCAAAGGCCCCAGCGCTGAGCAGTGTTGTCGCAAAGTACCCCAGCTTCGAGTCTGTTCGCCTCAGCTTACCAGATCGCGACTCATCTTCGTGCCACGTGTCCATCACCCCAACCCTTGTGACAAGGTGGTTGTGGAGGAAGACCATCGCAAATGCAACAAGCAGGGATGGGGATAGCGTGTCTTCAGATCACGAATGATGAACATCGTGAAAGACCCGATGCCTCTGTTTCATGGCAATCGCCGCAGGACGATGAAGGACATGTTGTAACCAAGTGTCTTTGAGAAGACGTGCTTGAGAGGGAGCGTGGAGCAGGAGGAATATACTCTGAATCTTGGCAACCTCGGATGACTCCGAGCCAATGACGTTTCAGTACAGGACGTTTGTCCTTGGTACACATGGGCAGACTGTACAGTGTTTGAACAAATTTTGGGGCTGATCGAGATCATCGTGATTTTCACATGTGCTGGTCTGTCTTGAGACGTGGCAGCAAGTGAGCGCATGATCACCCGAACGCTATTCCTGCGAAGAATCAGACGAGGTCATCCGCCAAACCTTTCTCCCTTCCGCGGCGCCCGCATGCTGTCACTGGCACCCATGTGCAGTTTGAGCTCGCTTGCGGCTGTGGAGGAATTCAGGCTACCGTCAGATCGGACGAAAGGCTCCTTCGCAGCGGCTGCATTATGCCGACTTGCTGACAATTCGTGGGTGTCATCGCCGGTCTCGTGGTAAGTGGTTGTACCAAATTCGCCGCCCTGGTAGCCACCGGTCGCCACGCCATATCGAACACCCTTGCGACCAGCCTGCTTGACAATGGAATCAACACGAGCGTTACTATCCACACCCCTGAGTATCGCAGCATCGAATGCTTTCGCAATCTCGATGGGACTCATCGTCATCTTTCGTCCGAGCTCAGAATAACCTTTGAACAGCGCGACTGCCATAAGAAGCGCTATGAGCGTAATCGCCAGAGCTCCACCTAGATACGCATACTGCGTCCTAAACACCGCCCTCGCCTGCGTATCCGTCGCGCTCAGGGTCTGCAGCGGTGTGCTTTCATTCGCGGCCGCCACACTCAGCCGAAACATCAGATTGCGCGCCCCAGCAAGCAGCTCGGTCATGGGGTCGCGGAAGTACAAGTCGCAGCTGCTGCCGATCGCCTGGCTATCGCTTCTACTTCCGTTCACAACAGCGTACTGGGTCGCGAGGTTGCCCCTGCTCGTGAACTCGTACCCGACGGCGCCGACGAAGCGGAGGTGTGCCGAGGAGGAGAACTTGTTCTGTAGCCCGAGCCAGACGCCGCTGAAGAGGTTGGCGCCCTGGCGAGGCGTAGAGGTGAGGATGTAGGGCTCTAACACTTGGTCCGCGAAGATGTCTGTGTGTGGGTCCAGGGCTATTGTTGAGCTGTTACCGTCTATGATCACGGGATAGCGCACTTTGGCTGTCCGGAGGGTACAGTTCGAGATGAGTAGTTCGCCCGAGCAGTCAGGAGTTGATTTGTGTGCGATGCCGATCGAAAAGTTTGATGGCGCTATCACAGACCATCCAAAGTGGGATTCAAAGACGTCGATGCCATCGACAGCTGTGCCATTGCCGAGTTCGATGGAGCCGCTGCTGTCGGTCTGGGGAATCAGATTGAAGGGTAACGAGTACGACGAGCAGGTAAGTGCAAAGCCCAGTCCTTCCACGGAGGTAGCACAAGTGCCCCTACATCCAGTGTTGGGCGCATCGATGGTTGCGTTGTTGTTGAAGTCGGACGCCACGTTGGCGAAATCCGCCGAATACAGCGATGCATCATACCCGCGCCCAGAAACATATCCCGTGAAGTATGTATCCGGTACAATGTTAATCAGTCGGAGCTGGACAGTCGCTTGTGAGAATAGCGGCTCGACAACAGCCCTTGAGGCGCGCTGCAGGAGTGGACTGTTGACCTGCGCAATCGTGGCAATGATGCAGCTCAAGGCAACAAAATTGATGTGTCGACCGGACAAAACCGCGTCCTGAAAACTGCTTCCGAATAAGTAGTTGCGGTGTAAGTCCCCAATTGTCGTACTCCGCGTGGCCGTATGCCACCAGGAGATGTTCGCGCCTTCTTTGAGGACATAGAACAAGCAGATATTGGTGATAACCGTGGCGATGGCGAGGTAGGTGGGTGGTTGGAAGGGCCAGTCTGCGATGGGCTTACCGTCGCTGTATACAAGTATCGCTGTCGAGGCGGCGAGGCCGATGAGGGAGACGAAGAAGCCGGTAACGGGCAGCCATGGCATGCGTGCGAAGGCGCCGGGGGTCCATGGGTTCGGGGTTGGCATTTTTGTTCTTGTGTCGGTACTCCCCTCGCGCTTGCCTACTATTCCGACAGTCATGGGAAGCTGGAGAGCTTCGATCCTGGAGTTTTGAAAAGAGAGACATCGTCGACTCGTTGAAGGTACCTTTGCTACAGGGTCTGCTAGGATCATACGACATACACAACCTGTGCCCCTTTCGAGAAAAATTAATTCATTGGCGTGGGACGAGGCGTTTGCTTTATCGAACCAGGCGGCTGAAGCCAGGATTGTGATTGGGCAGAAACCCCCGAAGTGTCACTTTCCCCCAAAGTGGCAGAGGCCAGAATACTCTGAATACGAGGTTCGGTCGAGATCCGGGCAGAACGTCCAGGAAATGAGTCTGAGGGTGCTATGTTTGTTCATGCGGCTGAAGACAGCAGAGGGAGTTCCGAACGGACATGTGGACGTGTGCATGCCGTGGTGCGACTTGATTTCGTAGAAACATAGGAACAATTGAAAAAGCTTTCCTGAGAGCATATTGCACCGGGCCCATGGTCTGCACAATGCTGCTGGTTCTCGTTGCCGCAGGAGTTCTGCTACACAGTGCAGCAGACGCCCTCGACTTTCCCACGCAGACAGCCAATGGCGGAGTCGCGATCGCACAAGCGACGCCAGCGACAACCGCAGCACCTCTATACAACCCCGACCTGCTTCGACGACAAGACAGCGATGCAACGTCCCTTTGTGGCTATGTTGCAGGCAACGGCTGTACGCCCATCTCTCTTCTTTGCCATGAGTTGCAAGGCTGACTAGTCCCACAGCGAACCCATTAACGTGCCGCAGCGACGCCTTCTGCGGGTTCAACAGCGTGTACTCAGCATTCGGCTGCTGCACAGGTACGCAAGGCGTATCGCTGGTAGGCTGTAACATGATCACGAGCTGCATCGACTCTGCCGCTTTCGGAGCGTGCGGTGCTGGGTGCCAGTCCAATACAATGAATGCTTGGTGGTAAGTCTGCGCCAACTCGCCGTTCATCTGTTCGATCATGACTCAAGTGTCCACATAGCACATCAGCGGCGTATCCTTATTGTCGGAAGTACACAACAGGCATCTATTCCGGTTTCGACTGCTGGTCAGAGCCCAGCCAAGTTGATCCCGTTCTACCGACTCCGATCAAAGGGTACTCGACGTTAGACTTCTCAAGTACTGCTAGCATCACGAGGTCGTCGTTGTCTGCTTCCAGTGCTTCGTCGACCGCAGGGAATCAACCTCTAGGAAATGGGGTTTCGGCGCTGCAGACTGGTGGCGACATTGTTGCGACGCCATTCACGGAGTCGCAGAAGACCGGCTCGGCAACGAGCACGACGGCGGCTTCGGCATCTGTGCAAGCTTCTTCTGCTGGAAGGCATCGCGCTGTGACGGACAGGAAAGCGTGGGTAAAGCTAGCTTTTTTCTCGCTTTGGCTTGTTCGGTAACCCGCGATGGAGTTGCCTCGACTTTCGCGGCATGTGCGCGCAAGAATGAGTTATGCTCGAATGCCCCAAAGAGCATGTGAAATTCGAAGTTGTTTTGTACCTGTTTCCATGCATTGACGGCAGAGGCCGCCCGGTAGCTGATTCCTGCTGATACTGCTCTCACCCTGAATCCGGTCGGTCTGGAAGAAGAATTGGTTGAGAAAGGAAACAGAGCTCGATAACGACATGCCATCTTCCAGGTTTTACAGTGGGTTGGAAGGAGCTGGAGATTTTGACGCGTGAGGTGGCTTCTGTGGCCTCATGCAGCATCTCGGATCGAGGATAGTGATCGAGAGGGCAGAAGAACTTTGCCTAGATCCTGCCAAGCCATTGCTTTGTGTCGATGCCTCCGGTCGCACTTGGCCGCGCAAATCCAACGCATGCTGCAAAGGGGTCTCCGCCTGGTGCGACTGCTGCTTGGCGTCGGTTTTGGGTTATGGAGGGCACGACCACAGATACCATGTCGTTTCCTTGCTGCCATTGCGTCCTTGATCTGTGCCCCACTTCATACATCAGGCACCTCGCTCGCGCTCGCTCTCAACCTCCCCACCATCTCATCCCAACCCCCTACCTCGCAGTCAAATACTTCTGCTCCCACCACTTGATTGCCCCCACCGCCGCCGTAACCTTCATCCCCATCCTCGCGTCCAACTCATACTTCTCCCACGTCCGTGCCCTCTCCACAAACTTCTTCGCCTCCTCTACCAGCGGTATGTCGTGGTCCAGATTCACCTCGACTTCTTTCTCATCCGGACCGTCAACAGTCCTCCCATTCAACCTCTGGAACCCACTCCGCATAGTCCAACAGTTCACCCCCATCTCATAATACGCCGCCGGCTGCGGCCAATCATCCTTGTTGTGGCCCTTCAGAAACCCGTCCGGTCTGTCGATCAACTCCCTTTTGAGGAGCGCCATCGACTCATCGTGCCGTCTCAGGTTCCGAAGAATGACTGCTCTGAGGAGATGCAAGATTCCCTTCTCGTCATTCTCCTCCTGCTTCCATCCCGGCTGCTCCTCCGACCATCCCAGGTTTAGGAGTGACGCCTCGAGTTCGCGCCGCGGCATCTTCTTATAGCCGCCCCAGAGGTAGATCATTTCTTCCAGAGGCGAGACGCCGACGGCGTCAACATAGTCAATGTTCAGGTGTTTAGCTCGTTCTTCCCACTTCGCCAGCTTCCGAATCACGAAGACCTCGAACGGCAACTGCCTCCCCAACATTTTCTTCTTCCCAACCTTCGTCGGCGCCGTCTCGAAATACTCCGCCGCCAGACCCTTATGCTTCTTTGCCGCTTCCTTGTCGCCGGCTCTTAGTGCTTGTCGATACAAACTTACGTGCGCCGCCCCAGCAATAAAGTAATACAGCGCCTGACTCCACTTGTTGAGGTCGGCGCACTCAATGAAGCTGGTCGCGCAGAGCTCGTAGCGGTGCGCGTACATTGCTTCCAAGCTCCTCTCAAACACATGCAGCGCCTCCAGCTGTTTGAGTTTCGACTTTCCTCCCTTCGCGTCCAACAGCTCTAACCCGCGATCGAGGTCCTTCTCGGCAGCGGCCATGCGTGCTTCTTCGATCAGCCAGAGGTAGGATTTCGTGTAGCGGCTGCGCATCTCTGCAAGCAGAGTCTTGAGGCGGGCCGCGGGGTAGCCGAGCATGTCGTCGGGGTCGGAGGGGTCGCCGTCGGGTATGATGTCGCAGAAGCCGACGAGGCCGTTGTAGAAGCCGAAGAGGACGAAGCCCTGTAGAGATCTTGGTTAGCGTTGTTCTGGGATAGATAGCCTTGTATGCCACTTGAGGTTTGGCAAGATTGTACCGACTCTCTTGATTCGAAAGACGCGCTCGGAGCACACTGGGAGGAATGGGTTTCTTTTGGATTGCATGGATAGAATTAGCTACGGGGGAGCAACATACCGCCATACCGCCATTGACATTAGCAAACTTACTCGCCTGCCACAACATACGCAGGCCCCGTTCGCGATCGCCGCGGAAGCCGATGATGGAAAGCACGCGGCTGAAGGCCGGCGGGACTGCTGAGATCATAAGATTGAGGATGCCGAACATGAGGTTGGTGCCGCTGTGGATGAAGATGTCGAGGGAGTTGCTGAAGACTTCGGAACCCGGATCGAGGGTTATCATGCCTGGAATAGCGGCTGTGGATGCGTTGGCGACGAGTGTCGGCTGGGTGGATGTGGTGTTGGATGATTTGGAGTCGTTGACGGAGAGACCTTCAAGGTCCTGCTCGAGATGGCTGTCTCTCCGTGACGGTGGGTGAATGGGTGCATTGGGATCACTGGGGGCCAGCTTCCCCGTGTATGACTCCAGCACTTTCCGTTCTCGCTCGGCATCGTTTGCGTCTTCCGCATCGAAGAACTCGTCGCCGTCATCGTCTTCATCTTCCCGAAACGGACTGACCACCTCGGCATGCCTCAAATTGCTCGCCTGCTTCGGCTCGCCCACGGCACATTCTTCGGTCTCACCGCGGCCGTCAGCGGCGTCCCCTTCTCCTGCAGCGCACCCGTCCCAGTCGCTCCTCCCTGCGAGTTCAAACTCTCCCGACTCCCCTGCCGACTCGTCTGCCGACTCGCCGCTAAACTCCTAACCCCCTGCACCTTCATAAACTCCCTCTCCATCGCCGTCAACCCCTCCAACGTCATATACGCCTTCCTCAACTTATAAAACCCCTTCAAACTCTCCGTCAGGTTCTCATTCAACACACTCACAATCGCACTCATAATCTGCGCCTCAGCCTGGCATAGACTAAACTCGCTGCCTTTCTCATAAATCCCGCTCTGGAACGCCTTCGCATCATGCTGCGCCTTATAGTAATTAGCGGAGGCGGCCGACTCGGCCTCGTACAGCTCGTCGGCGGCTTGCTTCATGATGTCCTGCTCAAATCCCAAAGCGGCGCGCATGAAGGCGAGGGTGCCGCGGGCGAGCTTGTGGAAAGCGGAGGTGCCGTTGGCGACGCCGGCTTCGGCGCCGGCGATGTCGTCGTCCATGATGAGCTCGACGGCGTGCAGGGCGGTGTCCATGGCGTGGGATTCGGAGAGGGAGTCGAGGGATTGCGTGCTGGCGGAGGCGCCGCGGTTGAGCCAGCGGCCGACGCGGTGCATGGTGGGCGGTGGGTTGGTGGTGGGGATCTGTTGATGTTACTTTTGCTGGATGTGATTCAAGAGTCGTGTTTGAGTGGCGTCAGATTGTCAGTCGGTGATCTTCGAGATCGTGTAGGCTGATCAAGCTCCAGATCTGCTCTATCGCTGGAATTGACAATTACTCTCGAAAGCCCTGCCCAAAAACCTCGAATATTGTACAAGGAGGTCCCTTTGCTGTGCGGTCAATGCCCAGCTGAAACCCAATCCACGACTCTGCCAGACAGTACTTCTGTCCGCGTGCCTCAAGCAACGCCCACGTGGGGCGGATGTGACGTTCTGAAGGCACCAGAAAGACGGAACGTGTTCTCCGAGATGCGTTTGAATTCGAAGATCCTGCACTTGAAGAGTGAAGAATCACAGTGACATGGACCAGCGTAGAGGGTAGAACTCGCACGGCCACTTGAAGTCAAGACGAAAGCGTACCAGCAAGTCCCGTCACGGAGCGGGTGTTCGAAACGGCTGCAGTAGTACTCACCGCACCAATCGTTGTGCCACGGATCAGAATATCGTCATAGCAAAAAGCATAGGCAAATCTTCAAATGCTTTCGGGCCCGGATGATATCTCATAGTTCCCGTGTTGATGGCTGGGGCAGTGCAGCAGTTTGACGGGCGAATCGTGCAGCAGTGGTGCCTGAACTAATGCACACTTGAGCGTCGAAATTGGAGCGGGATGCGATCGTGCCATGGCGTCAAAATGTTTCAAGTGTAGAAGATGGTCAACCGGTCTGATTGAAGCCTATCTCCAAATCGCGGAATATCAATTCAACTTGCGTACTTCTATCCCGCCTCGCCTCGCACACCCATCACATCTTCGCGTAGAACACCTGCTCTTCGAACAAATCTAGTACCTCCGCGCCGTTGTACCCGTCGACTTCCCACACGCTTCCGCACACTGATCCGCTGCTACACCGTCTGTCGCCATCAACCTACCACTCACGGCCCAACTACCCATCATCTACCGCCTACCACCCGTCATCAACCAGCACAACACAATGTCGTCCGCCCCAACAGCCAAACTCCAACCAACCTCCACAAACGAGCCTGACCCAGCACAGACCTCCAAACCCACAACCAACACAAACCCTGCGACGCTAGAAGAAGACGACGAGTTTGAGGATTTCCCCGTTGAAGGTACGCCTCCCCTCCCCGCTTTCACACTCCACTGGGATGCCCCAAACCACTGCCGCCAGCTCGCTACGCTCGCTGACATGATTATCACAGACTGGGCACAAGAAGATACCGAGAACCCCACTTCCACAACAGGCGGCAACACACATCTATGGAGGAGAGCTGGGACGACGATGACGGGAACGACGAGGAAGGATTTGGGAAGCTTTTACGGGAGGAGCTGAAGAAGGTTGCTGGGGAGGGCAAATGAGCACATGGAGGCATACAAATATGTGATATCGAGAGATATTGATCACAACGATGATGGACGAGCCCGCTTCGGCGTCCGCGCTTTCTTGAAAAGAGTCACGCTACGCTGGTCAACCTAGCTACTGTACCTGGGACAGGTGAAAGCTACCTACTTGCTCGACAGCGCAGAAACGCCCGGCAAGTCCTTGCCCTCCAGCAACTCCAAACTAGCACCACCACCGGTCGAGACATGGCTCAGCTTATCCTCAACACCATACTTGGCCGCCACAGTAGCAGTATCGCCACCTCCAATGATAACGATCTTCCCATTACCAGCAGCCTGCACAGCAGCATCCATGGTCTTCTTTGTGCCGTTTGCGAACTTTTCCATCTCGAAGACGCCGGGCGGGCCGTTCCAGAGGATGGTCTTCGCCTCACCAATGGCCTCTTTGTAGAGCTCGATACTCTTCTCGCCGACGTCCAAGCCCATCCAGCCGTCGGGGATGCCGTCTGAGTCAGTGGCGTTCTGAGTCTTTGCGTCCTTGTCGAACTTCTCGGCTGCGACGTAATCGACGGGTAGGATGATCTTGACATTGTTCTTTTTGGCTTTCTCTTGAATCTCGGCGCACTTCTGGCTGCCTGGTTCGTCGAAGAGACTGTTGCCGATCTTGACGTTCTCTAGGGTCTTCTTGAAGGTGAAGGCCATCGCGCCGGTGATGATGAGGCTGTTGACCTTGTCCAACAGGTTGTCGATGAGCTGGATCTTGTCAGAGACCTTGGCACCGCCGAGGATGGCAAGGAATGGTCGCTTGGGATCCTCGAGTGCTTGCGCAAAGTAGTCGAGTTCTTTCTTCATGAGGAAGCCAGCAGCCTTCTGTGGCAGGTCGACGCCGACCATGGAGCTGTGGGCACGGTGGGCGGTACCAAAGGCATCGTTGACGTAGACATCTCCCAGCGCGGTGAGGCCTTTTCGGAACTCTGCAACCTTGTCCTTGTCGGCCTTGACCTTCTTGCCGTCTGCATCTTTGCTTGAGCCTTCTTCCTCAGCATGGAAGCGCAGATTCTCGAGCAGGATGACCTGTCCACCAGATGCCTTGTTGACCGTCTCTTCGACCTCTTTTCCAACGCAGTCGTCGGTGAAGATGACATCCTTGCCCAGTAGCTTCTCGAGCTCAGGTACGACAGGCTTTAGGCTGTACTTGGGATTTGCTTTGCCGTCAGGTCGGCCAAGATGTGACATGAGGATGACGGCTTTGGCACCGTGATCGACGGCATATTTAATGGTGGGGAGAGCTCCGACTATGCGCTGGTTGTTGGTGATCTTCTTGTCTGAATCTAGAGGAACGTTGAAGTCGACCTGCAGCTGTCAGTCACTGCTACCGTTCTCCCATACTGTGAGGGTACTCACTCGGATGAGTACTCGCTTGTCCTTGACATCGACATCGGAGATGCCGAGCTTGTTGGAAAGGGACATGCTTGAGGAGGGTTCGAGTTTGAAGCAGGACGCTGCGGTGTCTGGCTGTTCTTCGCGTAATAGTCCTGTGGTCAAGACGTGGCTGGAGTACCGATCTGTATCTGTAGCAGTGCACGCTATGGGGGTCAAGGTCTAGGTAAACAGTAGAGTAGAGGCAGCTGTGAAGGACAGAAGCAGAGGTCAATAGCTTGTTGGGATATCTCAAAAAACGAAGCAAGCAGTTGCGATGCGCTCAACTTGAACCTTGAAGGTGGGATGTCATAACGTGGGGCACGGGTTTCTCTGCAGGAGCAACTCGGAACGAAAATGCCCATACTTGCAGCCCTGGCCCGGCTTTTGGTCGTGGTTGTCGACGCCTGAGACTGGGAAGACTGACAATTCCATTCCTTTAGCTATGGCAGCAGTGCTTGGTCTGTCCACCAGGTCTTGCTGAGTCGGTGGTATTCCGAGGAGAGAATGCGCAACAAGACCGCTCCCGGTAGAGACACAATATACTGATCTAGCGGCCCAGATCGACGCACCGCGTGAAAGAATGACGAGAACAGATGTCCATTACAGCAGTTCGTGCTTGATGCCATGATGGGTCAAGTAGTTTAAGTGATCTGCTCCGATGCCTCGAAATCACATGTTTGACCCTTACTTAAGCGACAGCCCTGGAGGCGGGGCGGAAAGCGCATGGTCTGACGCTAACATGAGACCTTAATTCGACCCAATGATGCTTCTCGAACGATGAACTGCGTCTATCAATGCTTGTTGCCTACCTACAGCACCCTCTAAACCACCACGACCTCAAGGAGCGAACCACGTTTATATCTCTAGTCTATATTCAGCATCCTATAGTCGAGTCCACGTGGAGGGCCAACAACAAAAAGGGAAGTCGGGCCTGTGCCCCGAGTCCGCCACCACGTCACCGTTCCTTTGAGCACTGGCTGTGATCGCATCTTTAATCGGTGATTTGCTTTTCCACGCTCCTTCCTCGAGAAGAGCACCGCAGTCATGCCACTCGACACTTCTCGACGAAAGACGTTGGAATGGATCAACAATAGATACATCTACGGCAAAATTGTACGCATATCCCGTATCTGAATCTGGTCAGACTGACCACCGACCAATCCTGCTGACATCCTCGTCCTCTATCCTTAGCCATTGTTACACACCCTCGTCCTCCTCATCGAGTTCATCATGGTCGCCCGCCTCATCGCCAAATTCAACTCCTACTACGCCCAAAAACCATTACTAACAACCATGATAACGAATGCCGTAAGATCTGCCAGACCCAGCGATTCCAGGAAGAAACAAATCGACTGACATACCCCAAGCTCTTAGGTGGCATCGCCGACTCAACAGCACAATTCATCGCCGCATACAAGACCAGGCAACTTGCCCTACCCACGAACCAGAATAACGACGTCCGCTCCTTCATCTCCTCCGGCGTCGAACTCGAAGACCTCAATGAGAAGCCCGCCCGCTTCTCTCCTGCTCTCTCTCCTACGTACGCCGGCCCGCCCGCCTTTGACTTTGAGCGCCTCACCCGCTTCATGGCGTATGGCTTCCTCATGACCCCGCTCCAATTCTGGTGGTATGGTCGACTCAGCAAGTGGTTTCCTGTCACGTCCGCAAGAGGCACGATCCCAGCCCTGCAACGCGTAGCCATGGATCAGCTGCTTTTCGCTCCATGCAGTCTAGCGTGGTTCTTCACCTTCATGACTGTTGCGGAGGGCGGCGGCAAGAAACACCTGGTCAAGAAGATGCAGGATATTTACCTGCCGACGCTACGCGCGAACTACATTCTCTGGCCGGCAGTGCAAGTCATCAACTTTCGATTGATGCCGCTACAGTTCCAGATTCCTTTCGTGAGCACTATCGGTATCGCCTGGACTGCTTATCTGAGCTTGAACAATGCGTCGGAGGACGAGACGATGGATGTCTGAAAAGAGAAATTGTATATTTTGGCGCTGTAGCATTCATGATTGATATACGATACCCACGGAAGTTGCATATGGAAAGACGGAATTCCAGGCTGGCGTTTAATGGGCTCGAAAGGAACTTCTAGAGCCGCATTGGCATGATTGCAGCCGACTGACGGTCGGACTGGGAGCAAAGAATGAGAATAGAGTCATCGATACAGCGAAAGCGCTCGGAGCAAGCTCGACCAAAGAGTCTGACGAATCCACGATCAGAACAACTACTATGCATTCTATGGACCTTTGAAGAGCTCTCTACATACCTCTCCTGGCACAATAGCCTGGTCGGGATGCAATCGCTCGTATCTTGGCTGTCAATTTTGAGGTGTCACAAACGACATCCGTCGGTCGAGTTGCGAACCGTCCAATCATTACACCCTTCGTCTGCATTCGATCGACTTCTGGCGTCCTTCGTGGGAACTCATACCGACGTACATTTTGACGTGCGCCTGATCAATGTATGCGTCCCTCGTACCACTCCCTACCTAGGTACTGTCCAATCTGGGGAAATGGCGCACAAGGCAAACCAGGCAACTGCGATTTGCCAAGACATATCTCGATCTTCACCTGCCAATACATCTTCCGCAAGTGCAAACGGATCTCTTGCCCGAGACCATGACTCAGACGCGTCAGATCAGGCTGCGAGAGATATCGACCAGACAACCGCCCACATTTCTTCCTCAATCCTCGACCTTCAGAAGTTGCACATCTCTGCATACACAGATGGTTACAACAATCCCTTAACGCAATCCGCCATGCCAGACAAGAAACCTGTCGCTAACGAGGTGTGGCTCAAGGTCATCGAGTGGCTTGATCCAAAGGCGCTGAAGAATGCTCGGCTGGTCAACAAAGCATGGAGAGACTTTGTATGCCCTTCGCATTACTAGCAAGTGAATTACTGATCATCGACCAGGCTACACCTCATCTATTCCGCACGGCGATCTTCAGTCCGGAGCCCCTCAATGTCAAGAACTTGCGGAAGCTGGCGAGGACCGAGCATCTTGCAAAATTCGTTGAAGTCCTTCACCTTGACTGCACCACAACAATGCCGAAGATGGTAGAACCCTACGCCGTAGCAGCATCAAACTACTTCGCCAAGGTCTTCGCGCTAGGAGAGCAAAAGACCGGTCCGCTATGCGCAGCTAATCTCCTCGAAGTCCTCCAGACCGACTCCTCCGCGCACCTGAACCACAAGTATCTCACCGGCAAACCTCGAGGTCATTTCATTGCTGGCTTCACGCTATACAACGCTCGATTCTCATACGCCGACCGAATGTCAAGGGCTGACGAGGTATACGCCCAACTCGTGTATGTCACAAGCAAGTTCATCAATTTGAAGCATGTGGGCACGTTGTCATACTGGACGACATCAAAGGAGCCGTATCAGGATGACTTCAAGCAATATCTCATAAACAATTTGCCCAGAAAGAGCATTGACCTAATCTCGGGCATCAATCCGCCGCCTGGGTTAGTCGCAACCACTAAGACAATCACTAGTGGATCGAATCGTCAGAGAACCTTCACGAGTGCTTTCGGTGCTCCAGGTGCGGCTGCACGCGGTCTCCACGTCATGATCCTACCGCCTTCTTACAGCGCCTGTTCCCACGACACTCACACTCACGAGATCATCAATGGTGCGCTCCGGGCTCTTCGCAAGAACAATTTCAGGCTAGTATCGCTTTTCTTGCCCGGCCCCGATGAGCTGGATCATACCAAAGCTACCGAAAAACGCGATGGCATTGTACCTCTACCCAGTCTGCTTGAAGGTGTTCAATCGAAGACCTCGAGCCTAGTCCTCCCTCTGTTCCGAACCTTGAAAGTCCTGGAGCTCAACATCGACTTCGTGCACGGTGGAAACACTTATCGATCCAGACGTGGGTTCTATGCACCGCTGGACAGTATCAGAAACGCTATTCAACAGATGTCGCAGCTAGAGTCGTTGAGCATCGGAGCCCCGAAGGCGCTTCTCGGCGACCACTCCGTCTGGGATCTCTCAAAACTTCTGCTCTTCAAGGAGGCTGACTACCCCGAAGTCGATGAAGAAGACGATGCTGGTGATGACGACGCCGATTTTGGTATTCCCCCGCCAGAAATGTCACAGTTTTTGAACATGATGCTTGGTGGCATCTTGGCCGGCACAGCTCCTGGCAACAACAATCCCGCACCAACAAACGGTTCCAGCTCGCAACCGGCTGCATCTTCCGCTGCATCAATGCTGGGCTCGATGCCGCCGGTTCAACTCGGACCTGCAGTCGTTGCCGGCGTGGAAACTGTGACTGCGAACGGAGCAACTACCGCGCATGCCCTGCCACCAATCGCCATACCGCCCATCGATATGTCGCAGCTTCTAGGCACTTCTCAAGGTCCAGGTTTGTCCAACCGCAGGACTTCTGCTACACCACTTAAGCCGAATCCTTGGCCAAAGCTCAAATACCTCTCGCTCTGGAATTTGCCTGCATCGCCGCAGCAGCTCTCGCGCCTAGTCAAGACCGTAAAAGGCTCTCTCAAGGTTCTGAAACTCGACAACATCCACTTTGGGCCAGTTCCAACCCCACTGGATCTTTCGAGAGGGCATCATCACCCGCACCACAATCATACTGAATCTGAAGCTCCAGAGCCCTCCGTGGATGGCTCCGAGAACGAGTCCGACGGTGGCGATGAGGATCTTCCCGAACTCCTCGACACTGAAGACGCCAGTCTCTCAGCTTCGCATGTTGCGAATACTTCAGAGGCCGCCCCAGTCCACGAAGTCCCGTCGTCTTCCGGTGTTCCACAAACCGGTCCTGCTTCAGCTCAACCAAATGGTCAATCTCAACTTCAATCCAATGTGCAAACTCAAACTCAACCGCAGGGCCCTCCCCAACCTCAAACAGACGGGAACCAATCCACGACTACGTCAACTAAGCCGGAAGCAGGCAAAGCGTGGCTCGAAACAATCGAGATGCTCGCCGATGAGCTGAGTCTTGACGAATGCAGCATCGTCTTGCACCCAACTGAAGAGTACGAGGTTTGCGACGCGTTGGCGAAACAGCTGACTGTCAATGTCTGGGAGGAGATGGGGCCTTTCAGCATCGAGATCTCTCGCTATCTTCTCGGAGGCAACGGCATAGGCTTTCCACTGCACACGGCGAATAGGATCCAGCAGATCAGTGAGGGTGGTGACGAAGAGAGTGAGGTCGACATGGGTGACGATGATGACGACGATGATAACGATGGTGATGGGATGGATGCGGACGTTTTGCGGAGAGTCGGGTATTACAAGCGTCCAACTACGAACAGCATTGTCGCATCGCCTTGGCAGGCTTCTCCTTGCTGAATTGCAAGCGATAAGCGGTACCGTTCCTGGTGAGATCATCATCTTGACCATCTTGGTAGCATGAAGGCCTCCCTGGGCAACGACTACGCTCTGTTGGGCTTCACATAACTTAGATAGATAATTTACGACTCGGAACGGCGCTCGTGTGTCCATTACTCAATCAGGTACTTGGTAGTCCGTATCTGCCTATTGCACGCCGCTCCTGCCAAGGCGGGCTGTCGGTCGTTGCAGGGTGGATCTCAATGGAGCACTGCGGACTTCGAGACTTCCAACATCGTTGTGCATAGACCTTGGCGGAGATGAGCGGAGGGTCGACCATATCAAAAACGTCTTGTTCTCCAATGTCTCCAAGGGGACGGTGGGTGGGGGAGG